ATACAATTGACTGGTTGCCCTGACACGACAAATAAATAAATAAATACAGTATAATTGATATAGTGCAATATCGCAATATTTAAAACTGGTATTGTACTATGTTAATAATATATTGTATGTATATATACCTTGTAAGCCGCTCCGAGTCCCCTTCGGGGTGAGAAGGGCAGCATATAAATGTCGTAAATAAATAAAATACATTATGTGTGGAGGGAGACACTTTGTAGACACGCACTGTTTCGCGACACAATGATTCAATTTTATTAGCAAAATGGAAGTTTAGCCAATCGTTTTTATAATAATAATAATAATAATAATACACTATGTAACATTATTTTTTCCTGGGTTATAAATGTCATTTCCTTATTGGTTCTATCATAAAAACATGATTTCTTTTATTAAATGGCAAAAAACTTTATTTTGTGGGGCATCCCACAGCACATTTTGCTCTAGTTTTTCAATGAATATCTCATTGGGTCTCAATCAATTCAACCTAGTTTGTGTCAGGCACAAAAATGAAGTTCCTGGAGTATAACTACTTTCAAAGTAAGTGCTGCACAATTAAACAGGAAATAACACTTTCAAACAAGGAACAGAACATTTTGCAAATTTTGTTACATAGTGTAATAACATACTTTTTCAAGATTTTCCAAAGGGAATATACTATTTCCAATTTTAGATGGGCTCAGAGGTTTCTTGTTACATTCATGAAACACAGTTCCACACTGCAGTTGTAATGTGTGATAATGCACAGTTTGAAAAGCTCTGCTTTAATATCTCCATCTCTGGAAATACCTATAACACACTTTTACAGCACTATTATACTATTTTAACATCCTATGAAATCCTTAGAGCCCATCCAGACTGTACCTTTATCCCAGGAGGAAAAGGAAGAGGGGCCGACCAAAGGCAAGATGGATGGATGGTATCCTTGAAGTGACTGGCTTGACTTTGAAGGAGCTGGAGGTGGTTACGGCCAACAGGGAACTCTGTTGTGGGTTGGTCCATGAGATCATGAAGAGTCGGAAGCAACTGAACGAATAAACAACAACAAACATCTAGTCGGGGGGTGCTGTGGATTTTAACTTTGAATATGATTTTAATGGATTTTAACTGAAATTTTTAGTGTTTGTGTTTAATTCTGTTTTAATATTTGTATATTTTGAATTGTATACTAATGCTTTTATATCAAGCTGCTTTGAATCCCCTTTGGTGGAGATAAAGCGGAGTATAAATATAATAATAGTATTTTTAAAAAATGATCATTAAAACCAGAAATTCAAAATATTAAAAGCTAAAGTTTAGGATTTGGATTTATAGAGTTTTAAGCCATCTTTAATGCATCACTGCTGTTTTGCAGTTATATCATGGAAGACTTGAAGGCAGTCGTACATTCAGAATGTGAGGTGATGGAAGCAAAACCCAGTGAGTGTGTGAATAATGGTAAGTGGTTTCAAAAATAACGAAGTGAGGTAAATGGTGAAGCCTAGATAAAATTGTAAAAAGTTTTGTGATTAATCCGTAATGCTTGTCCTGTGTATGTCTAAAATCAAGTTTGATCCACTTATGTTGTCCAAGAATGGTTCAGGTGATGATAGTATTATAGAGCTGAAAGAGACCACAAGAGCTATACAATCCAACCCTCCTGCCATGCTCCTGTACATAGACAAAACATCCCTGATTGATAACCATCCAGCTCTGTTTAAAAACCATCAGAGAAGGAGACTGCACCACCCTCTAATGCAGCATATTCCACTGTCAATCAACTCTTACCATCAGGAATCATGGGAGTTGTAGTTTAGTGTGGCACCAGCACTCTTTGGCAAAGACTAAGGGCCTTGTAAAACTATAGTACGATTCTACAGCAGAGTGATGGCAGGCAAGCTGCTATCAAACTACCGTACATGGATTCTGCAATATAGGTGCATTCGTATTCAAAGGATTGGAATGAATTTTGACCTGATAACATTTGCTTATTGAAAGGACTCTTTGACAGAATTAAAATAATAATAATAATAATGAATTCTTTATTCTGGATTAATTGCAAATGGTTACTTCAAACAACAGTAAACAATTATTCTCTCTCTCTCATATATACATACATACATATTAGCCGTCCCCTGCTACGCGTTGCTGTGGCCCAGTCTGTGTTTATGTGTTTTGTGTGTATATATGTGCATATATTTGTGTATAAGTGTGTTTGCGTATATATATGTGGTTTTGCACATGCATTGTAATGTAATTTTTGCTTGTTTGGCTTTTTAAGTCCTTTCTGCTGTGTTTTTCAGTGTGTTTATGAGTGATGGTCACTCATTGGCCTGATAAGTGTCTTGTGTCCAAATTTGGTGTCAATTCGCCCAGTGGTTTTTGAGTTATGTTGAGCCCACAAGTGAACATTACATTTATGTATGTGTGTGTGTGTGCGCGCGCATGCATTGATTAAAACAGAGGCTTCTATTGATATCTGGTTTTCACTGAGCTGTCCATTATAACTAATGGTGTGTACTCCCTCTAGAACAGTGGTTCTCAACCTTTCTAACACCGTGACCCCTAAATATGGTTCCCCATGTTGTGGTGACCCCCAACCATAAGATTATTTTAGTTGCTCCTTTATAACTGTAATTTGGCAACTGTTACGAATTGTAATGTAAATATCTGATATGCAGGATATATTTTCATTATTACAAATTCAGCATAATTAAAGCATCATGATTAATAAGAAAAAATATGTTCAGGGGAGTATGGAAAACAGATGATGTGATTTGCAGTATCTTCAACCGATTCAGCTCTAACCTCCATAGACCACTGAGACCTCCACACAGAACTCCCATGTCAAACAAAAAATACTGGAGGGGTTTAGGAGGAATTCACAGTGATTTAAGGGAGATGTAGTTTACCTACATCTGGAGAGCATTGTGAACCCAAAAACTATGGATCTGGACCAAACGTGGCACAGATATTCAATATGCCCAAATTTGAACACTGGTGGAGTTTGGGGGAAATCGGCTGGGTTGCGGCCTTGCCAGAAGACGGGACCGCGGCCCAGCCGAGGGAGCCTTCTCGCGAGGAGAGCCCTCAGCTGGGTTGCGGCTTTGCCGGAAGGCGGGACCGCAGCCCAGCCGAGGGAGCCTTCTCGTGAGGAGAGCCCTCGGCTGGGTTGCGGCCTTGCCGGAAGGTGGGACCGCGGCCCAGCCGAGGGAGCCTTCTCATGAGGAGAGCCCTCGGCTGGGTTGCGGCCTTGCCAGAAAGTGGGACCGCGGTCCAGCCGAGGGAGCCTTCGCGCGAGGAGAGCCCTTTGGGGCGGGGCCTAAGGAGGCGGCCTCACGACCCCTCCGAAATGGCCAAACGACCCCCAGGTTGAGAACCACTGCACTAGAAGCCCATGTAAAACTAGCTTAATTTTAAGTATGTATTGAACTTCATTAGGGTGAACCAAAAGTTATTTACCCATGTGAATTTATGCTGAAAGTAATTGGTTTTAATTAACAGTGATAGTTACTTGTTTTGTCAGCAAAGTGAGAATCTGTCTTTAGTACACCCACACCACATTGTGTTTAAGATAGAGATCTAGTTATTATGCCTACACAAAATAACAAATATACATAGAAAGTTGTACCTGTGTCGTGCTCATACTTGTGGACTAGGGTATATACTTTAGATTATATTAAACTGATTCTGTGTTCTCTTGTTGTACTGTAAAACCATCCTTGTTGCGTACGATAGTAGCATCATGGAAAACTCAATGTGGCAAAGAGGAATATGTTAGTGTATTATCAACAGAATAATGTCAGTGTTGATCATTGCAATAACAATAAATGATGTGCCATGTCATTGCAGACATTCCCTTCCTGGTGGATGAAAAATTTGACTTTGACCTTTCACTGTCTCCTATGAGGTAAACTAAGTACCTGCAATACAAAAGTGCATCATTAAAAGGGAAAGGGTTTTGAGGTGTCTAACCCGCTAAAATGAAAAATGTCTAATTTTCATTTTAGTGAAAATGAAGATGAAGTTTTTCTTGGACCAATGGGCCATAAAGAGAAATGTATTGCTGTCTTGCTTGAATCTCAAGAAGGGCTGAAGGACAAAACCTCACCACCAGCTCTGGATAAACCAACATGGAGTCCACTTGCTGGAGAGAAATTTGTGGAAATTTTTAAGGAAGCTCATCTGGTAGCACTGCAGCTACAAAGTGCAAGCAAAACCAAAAGAAAAAATGCTGCCCAGCAGGAAGAAGCAAAGTCGGGGACTGTGGAAAAGTTTGTGCAAGAATCAAAATCAAAACTCAAGATCCTTGAGAGAGGAATAGTGACCAATAAAACTCCAACATCGATAAAGAGAGAGACATTTTATGTGGGGGAGAGTCCAATTTCCCAACTGCCATCTTCATTACAGAAGTGTTCAAGTCACCCTGCCAGAGTGACAGAAGTCTCTCATTGCCCGCAAAGACTTCTAAATGCATCTAGTCCCGGGAAACTGGATAAATTACCCAAAACATCTGTGATGCATTTATCCCAATCAAAGAGTGAAAAAAGCATTAAAACACCAAGCACATTTCAGCCTGTAAAAAATGCATCTGGAAATAACAATAGTGTAACCAAAGGACAGGTAAGCTTTTCCTATTTCTAAATAGCTGAAAATTTAGTTGAGTACATACAGGAGTGGTTACTTTCTGTGCTTCCGCTTAATTAATGTGGCCTTTATTTTCTTCCTTTTCCCTTTTTTGGAGTTTCTTAAAAAGAGAACAAATGCCTGCCTGGTATACACTTTATTTAAAGTGGTTGGCCTGGGTTTAAAATATTTAATTCTGACAATATTCCAAACTCTTTTGCTGCTAAAGTAGTTATCCTACTCCTAGTTAATTGCAGTGTTAATCCAGGGTATTTAAACTGATTGGTATTACAAAATATTACTTGAAAGTTAATGTTTGTATTGCTACCTGCTTAAATACATCCTTGTGTCACCGCAGGAGTATCCAGTGAATAGTTTCTGTGTTGAAGATATGCTATTTATTTATTTATCGTGTTAGGAGCAAACCAAACAGTTGTATTGCATTTTTTAACAAACAAATTTGCAAGCTTGTAGTTGATTAAATGTCCTATGAGCAGAAGCTGGCCACTTGGAGTGCCTCTGGTGTTACTATAAGAAGGTCCTCCGTTGTGGATGTGGCAGGGCTCAGGTTGCTTTGCAGCAGGTGGTCTGTAGTTTGCTCTTCTTCACACTCGCATGTCGTGGATTCCACTTTGTAGCCTCATTTCTTAAGGTTGGCTCTGCATCTCGTGGTGCCAGAGCACAGTCTGTTCAGCGCCTTCCAAGTCGCCCAGTCCTCTGTGTGCCCAGGGGGGAGTTTCTCATTTGGTATCAGTCATTGATTGAGATTCTGAGTTTGAGCCTGCCACTTTTGGACTCTCGCTTGCTGAGGTGTTCCAGCGAGTGTCTCTGTAGACACTATTTCTAGATTTAAGTCGTTGACGTGCTGGCTGATACCCAAACGGGATGAGCTGGAGATGTCACTGCCTTGGTCCTTTCGCTATTGGCTGCTACTTCCTGGCTAAACAGTGTAATAAGATATGCTTATTTCTAGATAGTAAATATAGGGAAGCTTAGAAGTTTGGGGGAAAATTATTCACTACTTTCTACTATCAAGTTCTCTGATCTGCTGAAATACCAATTTCCAAAGACAGGTGAAGTCACAATTCCACTGATGATTACCATATTTAAATGGTGTTCGAGTTTCATAGCATTTGAAATCTGTTTGCCTTACTCCCCCCCTCCCGCCATATCTTAACCTTCTAGCCAAAACAAGGGAAGCTTTCAAGTTCTTCCAGCAGGAATAATCCAAATAGCATGGGGTCATCTGAAGATTTGCTGTCTGAAAAATCAAGCATTGCTTCAGATGGAGAGTCACCTTTCTGTAACAGCTCTTCAGCACGAGAGAACCAAACTCTTCCTACTCCCAGCAAGGTGAATGCTCTTAATGGGTGTAACTCAACATGTAGCTGTTTCAGATTTCTCTCATCAGTTATAGTTGCTATGTCAAATCTTTCTGCTTCTCCTGTCATTAAGAAGTAGGTTTAACAAAGAATCTAGAAAAATATGACTGAATGCTTTTGAGACGACTGGTCAGGATGCATTCAAGCTCCAGATTCCTCACCATTGCCTATGCTGGTAAAGCTGTTGGAAATTTCAGTCTAATACTTTTCCTGCTTTTGTCTTAAAATGATAGGCAGTGGTATGATTTGGATTAATCTCTTTACTGAACAGATTAGGTTCTATATGTTGCTGTGAAAAAGTAGCAAGATTTATAAGATAGCATACAAATATATGAACTACTAACCATCCTCTGCCATGCGTTGCTGTGGCCCAGTCTGTGTATATGTGTTTTTGTGTGTATATGTATGTGTGTGTGTATATATTTGTGTATATGTGTATACATGTGTGTTTGCATGTGTGTGTGTGTGGTTTTGCTCATGAGTTGTAATGTATTTTTTGTTTTTTGGCTTTTTAAGTCTCTTCTGGTGTGTTTTTCAGTGTTTTTTATGAGTGATGGTTACTCATTGGCCTGATAGGTGTATTGTTTCCAAATTTGGTGTCAATTCGCCCAGTGGTTTTTGAGTTATGTTAATCCCACAAACAAACATTACATTTTTATTTATATAGATCAGTGGTTCTCAACCTTCCTAATGCCGTGACCCCTTAATACAGTCCCTCATGTTGTGGGGACCCCCAACCATAACATTGTTTTTGTTGCTACTTCATAATGGTCATTTTACTGCTGTTATAAATCATAATGTAAATATCAGATATGCAAGATGTATTTTCATTCACTGGACCAAACTGGGCACAAATACCTAATGCAACCACATGTAAATGCTAGTGGGGTTGGGGGAGCATTGATTTTGTAATTTGGGAGTTGTTGTTGTTGGGATTTATAGTTCACCTATAATCAAAGAGCATTCTGAACTGCACCAGCAATGGATTTGAACCTAATTTGCCACACAGAACTCTCATGACCAACAGAAAAAACTGGGTTTGGTGGGTATTGACCTTGAGTTTGAGAGTTGTAGTTCACCTATATCCAGAGAGCACTGTGGACTCACACAGTGGTGGATCTGGACCAAACTTGGCACCAATAGTCAATATGCACATATGTGAACACTGGTGGAGCCTGGGGAAAATAGACCTTGATTTTTGGGAGTTGTAGTTGCTGGGATTTATAGTTCATTACAATCAAAGAACATTCTGAACTCCACCAACGATAGAATTGGCTCAAACTTCCCACATGGAATCCCCATGACCATCAGAAAATACTGTGTTTTCTGATGATCTTTGGCGACCCCTCTGACACCCCTTCGCAACCCCCTCAGGGGTCCCGACCCCTAGGTTGAGAAACACTGATATAGATAGAGGGATGCAATCCTTTTAATTTGAAGAAATGCAATGCATATCCAAAGTCAAAAATCATTTGATATCCTTGGCTTTGTTACAATATGGCATCAGCATTGAACATTCTTGTGGTACCTGAATTTCTACTTCTGCCTTTATAGTTGAGTGCAAAGACAAGGCAGCTGAAACCTCCCAGTAATGTCCGTATGAGAAATATCACTTCATCTTCTTCATCGTCATCTGTTTCCAGCATGAATTCAAGCCTGAATTCAAGCCTCTCACTCTCACCTAAAACTGGAAAAGGTAACAATTAAATCATTTATTGATCCTGATATTAGTAAACTGTGCTTAAAGTGATTCCTTATTTATCAAATTTGTATGTCATTGAAAATCATAATTTAATTAAGTGGAAGCAGACACTTCTTCTTTATTGGAAATCAGAAAAGCCTTCAGTTCTTTGTAAAGGACATGGTAGTTTATTGTTACTGCAAGTCGCTTCTGGTGTGAGAGAATTGGCCGTCTGCAAGGACGTTGCCCAGGGGACGCCCTGATGCTTTTGATGTTTTTATCATCCTTGTGAGAGGCTTCTCTCATGTCACCGCATGAGGAGCTGGAGCTGATAGAGGGAGCTCATCCACCTCTCCCCGGATTCGAACCTGTGACCTGTCGGTCTTCAGTCCTGTCAGCACAGGGGTTTAAGCCACTGCGCCACCGGGGGCTCTGGTGGTAGTTTATGAAAGGAACGATTATAGTGTGGCAGAAAGTAAGTGTGTATAGATTCAGAAGGCAATATTGAAAAGCAACAATAGTTTTGAAGATCATATAATCTATGCTTGAATGTTGTAGTTTAATTTGATCTCAATTTAGCTTTTCAAACCTGGTAATTTCTAGATAAAAGGAGGTTGTTGCTCCAATGTGCTAAAGAGTATTTTGGTAAGTGTTTCAGTAAAATCATAATTGCATGTCTAAGAGATCAATGGACAGAGTAATAGTGGTCAAAATGTATCAGACATGTAAATTGTCCATATTTAAAAATGGGTGGTTGTTATAATGGAAATATACAGCTTGGATGCTAAATGTTTATCTTACTTGGTTACTAGTGCTAAGGCAATATGTATGAAATATCAAAAACCTTGCTACTGCAGTTATCAGTATTTCTGTATTCTGAAAGTTAATACTGTATTTCTTCAATTCTAAGACACACTTCTCCCCCTATATAAAGGTAAAGGTTTTCCCCTGACATTACGTCTAGTTGTTTCCAGCTCTGGGGGTTGGTGCTCATCTCCATTTCTAAGCCGATTAGCTGGCGTTGTCCGTAGACACCTCCAAGGTCATGTGGCCGGCATGACTGCATGGAGTGCCATTACCTTTCAGCTAGAGCAGTACCTATTTATCTACTCACATTTGCATGTTTTCTAACTGCTAGGTTGGCAGAAGCTGGGGCTAACAGCGGGTTAAACATATATCCCCCTATATAAACATCTCTAAAAATTGGATGTGTCTTAGAATCACGGGCGTATCTTATGTACTTTTGTTGCTGGTGGTGGTCGTGAAATTACGATGCATCTTATAATCAATGGCGTCTTACAATTTAAGAAATACGGTACTTAAAGTAACCACACAGCTCATTCTAATTCCCTCTTGAGTATGTTCTGCACATAAATGGCTACTCTGGAGTGTAATAGCACCATTTTTTCTGTGTGAGGCGGGACACAATGATATGTGGTAGGAATTATTGCTTCTCCTCTTGTTTTTTTCTCATCCTTCTCACCAGACAGGATGCCAGATTAAGATGAGATTCTAGATTAGTTGCAGAAATTAACTGGAGAACTGTGTAGAATTAGACACCCCCAAGGCTACAGGTTTTCAATCCTGGCTGTGGATACCATACTAAGGTGCCATTGAATGTAAGGTGTACCCTATTTTTGAAGCCTTGATTTGGAAAAAAACAATTTTCTTAGAATATTTTTCAGAATTTCCGCTGCATGCACAATATTTTGTTTTTGCTTTTAAACAGCTTTGTAGTATAATCTTTTATTGGGATGAGGTGGGAGTATGGAGAAACCCAGGAGGCATCTTGTCTGCATGAGTCTGAGTCTGTGATCCTGTTTGGGAGGCAGGGGAAGCAGGGTGTGGTTTTTAGCTTAGCCAGAAGTAAACTGGCTGCAACTGTGGACAAAATGGGTTGATAGAGCTGTTTGGGGCTAGGGCCTTTCATTCTTCTCCCTCTTGCACCTAAAAGACTTCCAAAACATTTGCATGGTGTTTGCTTCTTCTTCTCCCTTCCAGTGCTTTCTTCAATCCATGTTTTTGGCACAATCCTGATCATGTGTGTTGCAACATCTGCATATTTAATGTGCGTCTCAAAATTTGTTTCCCTTTCTGCCATTTTCTCACCTGAGGTATTCACGTGCAGACTGTATCTTCCTTGAAGCAGACTTATTTTTGTGTTTTTGTCATTGTAAAAAACACCTAAATGCATTGATGATGGTGATTTTATTAATGTGTATGCATATTTAACAACAGATAACAAATCTTACTTATTTTTAGTACACACAAGTGGCATTGTGACAAAAGCTTTTGCAAACAGATCCAGCCTCTCCACTCCAAGCAAGACTTCTGCAGTTAGGTCTATGAAAATGTCATTGGGACAGACTTCTCATGTGGATACATCTGGAAATATACAAAAATCTACAAGTGCTACTAAAGGAAATCTTTCTGTCAGTGTACCCAAATATAAAGCAGCTGCTGCTAAATGTGAGACTTCAGGCAGCGGGATTCAGAAAGGGGGTTCAAATCCTAGTAAGAAACTGGCACAGAAAAGTATGCTGGGAAACCTAAAAGCAAGTTCAAGCCCTAAACTCAAAGCTAAAGCAATGTCTCCAGTCTCAAAAGAAGGTAAGAACACCTATCTTGCCAAAGTGATAATTCACAGAGGCCTAACATTTTGGAACATGTTTATTGTATGCTTCTTGCTGTCAGGAAAGATTAAAATAACCGTTGCACTTTTTCTTTTCCCTCTTGTTAGATATGTCTGCAAAAAGTGTAGCTGCCAGAGTCTTGCAACCAGTCAAGTTATTATCCTGTGGCAATGCTGAAAGGTGATTCTATGTGATTCTTTCTTGGCTCCCTCTTTAAATCACTTCTCATTTAACTGCCTTGAAGGCAAAAGAAGAAGAAATAACAAGTTACCGTATTTTCTGGCATACAAGACGACCCCCAACTTTTCAAGACAAAATACAGAGTTAGGAATATACTCGCCGTTTATGACTACTCTGCATTCCACGGAGACCGACCGGGGGTGATGGCCAGCTGGGCTGTCCTCGCAGCTCCTGCTGCTCTCCTCGCTCTAATTTCAAGGCCCTCCTCTGTCCCCGCTCACCACCTCCGAAGACCATTAGGCTCGCCTAGGCCCAAGGAATAGCCTCCAGATGACAATTCACAGCAGCCCCAAGCAGCGTGCCTGGGATGTGCTCACTGAGATATTCTGGGAGCCATAGTTCCCTGACTCCTACGGCTCCAAGAATGCCTCAGCAAGCACATCCCAGGCACGCTGCCGCCTGGGGCTGCTGTGGGTCGTTGTCCAGAGGTGCAAGGAAGCACCTTGGGGGGACGACTCCCAGCAGCCCTGGCGGCGGCATGCCTGGGATGTGCTCACTGAGGCATTCTGAGAGCCATAGGTCCCAGAGTCCTACAGCTTTCCAGAGGCACAATGAAGCACCTTCAGACAATGACGTCCAGCAGCCTCGGCGGCTACATGCCTGGGATTGGCTCGCTGAGGCACTCTGGGAGCCGTAGGACTCAGGGAAGTACGGTTCCCAGAATGCCTCAACGAGCACATCCAACCTTCCTTGGGCCTAGGTGAGCCCAGTGGCCTTCGGAGGAGGTGAGCGTCGGGGGTGGAGGAGGGCCTTGAAAGTAGAGCAGGGAGAACAGCAGGCGGGGGCCATGTAGACAGCCCAGCAGGCCATCACACCGGTCTCCATGGCAATACAGCCTGCCGCTCCTCTTCCCCGTTCCGTCCCTCCGCCCTTCTCCCTCCTTCCTCAGGCCGCGCCACTAAGGGATTTTATTCTTTTCCTCTGTGTATGTCTGTATATGTTTGTATGTCAAAAACTGGCATTGAATGGTTGCCATATATGTGTACACTATAATCCGCCCTGAGTCCCCTGTGGGTTGAGAAGGGCGGAATATAAAAGCTGTAAATAAATAAATAAATAAATTCTTTTAATTATTATTTTAATTTTATATCCGGCGTACTAGACGACTCCCGACTTTTCATAAGATTTTCCAGGGTTAAAAAGTCATCTAATACGCTGGAAAATACAGTAGTTAAGAAGTAGTAGAGTAACCTGAAAACCTTTCACTTAAAGAAATGTCTCACTACTGTATTTTTGTGAGTTCAGCTAATTTAACAAGTCATAGCTTTCTTAGCTGTCATTTTATGTAGAGTATGAATTGACTCAATGTATAGTACAGCTTTTGAAGCTTAAAGCTATTTCGATTACCCCTCTTAAATTATGCATTGCTCGTCTCAAATATTATGTCTTCTATTTCTGATCATGATTTGCATTTTGAGTCAATAATTCTGAAGAATAATAAATGCCACAATGCACTTCAGAGCATGCAAACCACCAATGAATTAATTGGGCTGAAAGTACACCTTAAGCTGGGGTGCTGCTTGACATTATTAAACATAAATATTGTGGATGGCTTAAATTGATACCAGCAATTGTTTCACTTTGGATTTTAAGTTTCTAATATTACATGTGTTTTTGCAGCAATGTTGCAGTCACGCCACCCCTCAAACGCTCAGAAGAAGGGAGTATGTCAAAATCCTGTTCTGCTGCAACGTCTGCTTTAAGGACTCCTGCTAGTAGTGTCAGGCATTCTTCATTGCCTACACCTGGTGGTCGACGCCTTTCTGGAATTCCAATGCTGACCCCCAAAACTCAGCCTAGATTTATGTCTTCTCCTAATCCCGAATCTCTTCATCAGGTCTCCAAGGTGTCTTCCAAAAAGCCACAAGTGCCTAGGTAAATCCATGCTTGCTAAAAATGCAGTGGTACTATAGAATATATTTGTTTATTCTCATTTCTGTAGACTGTACTTCAGACATGTTTGTCCTCTATGTAGTTGGCTGGTGTGATATTTCAGAGGAGATCAATATAGATATGACTCCGAAGGAGCTCAATTTCAAGATAACTTGCACAATAACTTGGATGATCAAGGATCAGAATATGAAGTGCTCAGGTGGATTTTGGAGATTTTAGGATTGGCATCCGTTGGCAAACGGGAAATAAGTATGAAATCAATTTCTTTGCTTGCCTGGCAGATACAAACTTTAATGGCACCATACCTATGTGCATCAAAGAAAAATATCTTTGGAGCTGGGTTATTGTGTGTTTTCCAGGCTGTATGGCCATGTTCCAGAAGCATTCTCTCCTGACATTTCGCCTGCATCTATGGCAGGCATGCTCAGAGGTTGTGAGGTCACAGACTTCACAACCTCTGAGCATGCCTGCTATAGATGCAGGTGAAACGTCAGGAGAGAATGTTTCTGAAACATGGCCATACAGCCCGGAAAACGCACAACAACACAGTGATTCCGGCCATGAAAGTATTCGACAATACATCTTTGGAGCCCTTTCACAACAAAAATCACCCAAGATAAGCCCATAAATTGTCTGCAATAAACACATGAAAACCTATACTAAAATTGGCCAGTTGAATATGCAGGGGTTGGAACGGCCATTTGCTACAAAAAAACAAAACAAAACACAAGACACCACAACCTAGGTGGAAAATATACTATTTTTATTGCACTTACATGCATCCATTTAAAATCTGAACACATGATACTCTATAGTACTTGTGAAGTTCTGCTGTACCATCCAACAAGTTACCTGTCCACTTATGGTGATCCCATGAGTTTCATAGGGTTTTCTTAGGGTTTTCTCTCTTCAAATGCATTTACAGCACCCAGTGTTCATTGGTGGTCTCCCATTGAAGTACTAACCAGAACTGGCCCTGCTTAGCTTCCAAAATGTAGTTAGATCTAGCACCTCTATTTAGGCCAAACCTGTACTTTCTATTAATTATGGAACTAGTGCAGTAAGTAATATAAATGAAGTTGGGCTTCCATAACCATAGATTCTCCATCCATGACTTGAAAATATTCCAGAAACTATTTGCAGAAGGCAGATCTTGATTTTTATCATTTTATATAGGAGATACCATTTTACTAGGCATTGTATATCAATGGGATTTGAGCACTCGGTAATTTTGGTGTCCACGTGCGTGGGTCCTGGAGCACAAACCGAAGTAGATACCATGGGCCCACTCTCATGAACTTAAACTAGTCTGTTTCTGAAATTGTACTCGAAATCTAACACAAAACTGTCGCCTCTTTTCCTACCTAGCACAAAATGGGAAAAAGACAGCAAGACAAAGGTGAGCACCTCTAGCTCGTCTTCAGCAGAGGAAAGCTCAACTCTATCACAGATTGAGCCTATTGCGCTTGTCTTTTCGCCAGAGAAATCTTCTGAAGAGCTGGAACAGGATGAGACTAAAAAAGAGGAACCAGCTAAAGAGGTGGGCTGCAGTTTTATCTCTGTGTGTGAAGCCAGTACTATTTCTGCCTCAGAGGTTATTGCTTCTAAGTTTCCAATGGAATGGAAAGATGCTAGCACCCCCTGGTGTCTCCTGTATTCTCAGGAACTCTACAAGTTTCAATAAGTTTGGGATTTGTTTAATTTATTTAAAATCTTGAGCTTTATCGGAGATTTGTAAATTTAAAAAAATGGAAAGCAAGCTTATTAAAAAGGCAGCTATGCCAATAGTTGCTAGTGTCAGACTCTAAATAATATGAAGTAATTAGGGATTGTAGCTGGTAAAATTCTAAAGAAAGTTATCTTTTTATATTCTGAATCTGTATATATTTCTCTATTGTAAACACGCGATCCGTTTGTCCTTGAGTGAGGGCCCTCTGTGTTTTTTTCCTCTTGTACCTCATTGAGAGACTACCTCCTTCTGTTGTATTTAAGATGGCTTGTCATTATAGACTTTGTTTACTGAGGTTAATTTATGAGCTGTTCCTTTGGTCAGGTTTTCTTCACTTCCATGTATTATGCTACTTTTAAAGTTGTATTGACTTTATTTATGTATTTATTATTTACAGTATTTGTATACCGCTTTTCTCACCCCGAGGGGGACTTTATTTATTTATTTATGACATTTATATGCCGCCCTTCTCACCCTGAAGGGGACTCAGAGCGGCTTACAAGGTATATATACATACAATACACTATACTATTAGCATAGTACAATATCAGCATTAAACACTACATTATACTATACCAATTATATTATAAATATATAATTACAATATCATATTATTAGTAGTATTATATTGCATTACATTATAATATCATAAATATTAAACGTATATACAGTATATTATATTATATTATTAGAATAGCACAGGAGACAAGGTGGAACTGTCCCCTGCCTCCCCCCCCCCCATTCACTCTGTATCTGTGCATGTTTCTACTTTTGCTTATTAACACTTTTTTTTCCACATTCTGATATTCTTCAATATATATGCATGTTTTAATTTCTTTTCAGATAATAATATATATGCTTCTTTTTGAGTTTTTACTCTGGCTTGTAATTTATTTGGGGCATTCCCTGCTATTCAAGGTCCTTTGTGCTGTGGTTTCATTAAAAGACTCCTCAAAACTACCTCTTGCTGAGTAGAAACAACCAAAATAACATAGCTTTTCAAGACGATGACAGTAGCATTATTTATTTATTTATTTATTTATTTATTTACATTACTTCTTTCCCACCCATATCAGCCTGAAGGCGACTCAGGGTGGCATTCAAAGTCGGCACAATTCGATGCCATATATAAAATACATACATTGATAAAAAGCAAAAAAGAAACATTACAATACATTTAGAAACATAAAAAAATGAATAATAAAAAAAATTAAAAACTATGTCCTCTGCTTCAAATTCTCATCCGTTCCATCGTCTTGGCCGCAGTAATCCTTGTGCTAATAGTATTGTTCTTACGAATGTTCTCCTTTAATTCAACATGCTTTCACAAGATATACAAACAGTAGCCAACAGCTATAAACAGTTTTTCTTCTCTCTTTCTCTAGAGTCTGCTGGTAGATATTGGACTTGATAAAACACCAATTGGAGTAGATAAAATTGTAATCCAGAAGTGTGAAAACAAACCTCTCATTGATCTTTTTAACACCCCTGAAGTAATTAAGGCCGCTCCAGTTAAATCTACAGGACAGGTAAAATATTCTTCTATTCATACGAATCTGCATGTTTCGATAAACGGGGTCTTGCATGTAGTTCCTTCAGAAATGCTGGTTTCAGGGATAAATATCACTTCACCTGTATGGCTGTTGTTATTACAGGTGCTAAATGTTAGTGTTTAAAGTACAATGAAGTAATAGTAATTCCTTCACAATGCATGCAAAACCCAATTACAGTGTTCCCTCACTACTTCGCAGTTAGCCTTTCGCGGACTCACTGTTTCGCGTTTTTAAAATAAATACAGTAGTGTATATATTTGCACTAGAGCTGCGCCTCTCCTTGCCACGCGCATCATGGGAGATGCCAGCCTGAGAAGCCGACTCCTGCAGGTGCCCCACTCACCCAGCTCCTCCTCCTCCTCACTCTCCCCTGCAGATGGGAGCCCTTCCAAGTTGACAGCGGGAGAAGGAAGGAAATGAAGGAAGGGGAAGGATGATGGGCAGGTCTAGAGGGGCGAATGGGAGGTGGATCGGGAGGGAAGAGGGGAGACCCGCGTGACATCATGAGACTAACCCGGTGCAAGGAAAGAAAGGCGGGAGAGGTGCCAAGCTCCCTAAAAAGAAAAGGGTGTCAGAATATACTCAGCAGATGAATGTACACCAAAAACAAAAGTAGGACTTGCGCAGCGGCTGCTTGAGACACTACTTGCTGACGTGAGATTGGCATCCCGACTTTGTGGATTTTCATTTTTTGCGGGTGGTCCTGGAATGTAATACCCGCGATAAGTGAGGGAACATTGTACTTTACAACCTGGGTGTTGTCTCTAACAAGGGCCAAGGATTGAGTAGTTATTACAGTATAAACATTGACATTTAATACCATTATGTGTGGAATCCACAAGGATATAATAGGCTTAGCATTACTACTTAGACATCCATCCATGTCTATTTCACCTTTTAATAATAATAATAATAATAATAATAATAATAATAATAATAATAATAACTTTATTTATATACCGCTCCATCTCCGCAAGTGGACTCAGAGTGGTTCCCAAGTAACATCACAAATCATACAGACTCAAAACAACATAATAAGATTAACAGACAAAATATAAGCATAAAAATTGTTGCCATAACACACATATATTAAAAGTAATCCTGCCTGTTCAAGGCAATTAAAAATTTAAAAGGCCGGGCCAAGATTTGTGCAAGCCCAAAGATTCTAGGGGGCCCGGGAATTAAGTGCAATGCTATGGCAGGCAGCAATCTTAGGTACGGGTCTGTGGCTGTTCATTCCGGGGCTGATTAGAGGAAATGATCTGGGTAACTGGTAGGAAGAATAAGGCAATGTGTGGGGCTGAGTTAGAACTGGTCATTTTCAAAGGCCTGTTGGAACCACCAGGTCTTCAAGCTCTTACGAAAGGAGGGGAGGGATGAGGCCTGCCTTATTTCCCTTGCAAGGGTGTTCCAGAGACCGGGAGGTGGGGGGGCGCCACTGAGAAGGCCCTCTCTCTCGTCGCCACCAACCACGCTTGAGACGGTAGTGGGACCGAGAGGAGGGCTTCCCCAGAAGATCTTAGAGCTAGTGTTTGTACACTGTGCAGGTCATCTAACAATAATTAAAATGTGGAATAACACAATTTAATTATGAAACATCATGATGAAAGCAAGCATGTGCAGCAAAGAAAACAGTGCTTGGAACTCAAAATAAAAGCTGGTTTAAACAGATATGTTAAGATACTATCAACAAAGGTGGCCTTTCAGAGCAACAAATTCCCTCATTCGGTTCAGCCCTCGAGAAGGCCCCATCTCCTTCCAATATATTGTGGTTTGCATTAAGACACTTTCACCAGAGCTTAGGGCTCATGTAGAAGGAGGCAGCCAGTTAGTAATATCCCAGTCAAATGCAGCTAAAGCCATCATATGTGTCTCTTGGTCCTAATAGTATTCTTTCTGTTTCTAGCTAATAGACCTGAGCTCTCCTCTCATTGAACTTGGCCCTGAAGGAAATAAAGAAAACATAGATTCTCCTCTTATGAAGTTTTGATCCTTCGAACCATCTTTCAGACAGGAAGAGTGTCTGTTGGGTTTTCATTGATCAAGGAGGGTACTAGACTGTAAAAATAAGACTTGAAAATGTTTAAAATTGTAAACTGTGAGTGCATGCTAATTATGTTGCTGCTAGGAAGAATGGGGATGTCAGTTTAAATATTAAAATAAGCTTATTGCTACATGTGAATTGTAAAAATGTTCAAAGCCATTTTAGATGTTTGTTAAATACAATAAAGTAATAAATTTTAAATATCATCTGCTGGTTTTTTCAGTGGTTCTCAACCTTTTCAATGCTGCGACCCTTTAATACAGTTCCTCATGTTGTGGTGACCCCCCAACCATAAAATTATTTTAGTTGCTACTTCATAACTGTAATTTTTCTACTGCATTTGATGTGCAGTATGTATTTTCATTCACTGGACCAAATTTGGCACAAATACCCGATACGCTGAAATTGGGATACTGGTGGGGGCGGGGGCGGTTGGTATTGATTTTGTCATTTGAGTGCTGTTACTAGGATTTATAGTTAACCAATAATCAGAGCATTCTGAACTCCACCAATGATGGAATTGAACCAAATTTGGCACACAGAACTCCCATAACCAACAGAAAATATTGGAAGAGTTTGGTGGTATATTTAATTTGGGAGTTGTAGTTCACCTCCATCCAGAGAGCACCGTGGATTCAAACAATGATGGATCTGGACCAAACTTGGCACAAATACTCAATATGCCCAAATGTGAACACTGGTGTAGTTGGGGGAAAGTAGACCTTGACATTTGGACGTTGTAGTTACTGGGATTTATAGTTCAACCTACAATCAAAGAGCATTCTGAACCCCATCAACGATAGAATTGGTCCAAACTTCCCACACAAAACCCCCATGACCAACAGAAAATAGTGTGTTTTCTGATGGTCTTTGCTGACCCTTCTGACACCCCCTCGCAACCCCCTCGGGTCCTGACCCCCAAGATGAGAAATGCTAAAGCCAGCACTTTGAAATGTGCTCGGTAGCAGACTGGCAGCCAGTGGAACTGATACAACTGGAGGGATTACGAAGTTATGGAGAAGATAGGCTCTGTAGGTTTGTTAAATTGAATTTGTATGGAAATTGGAATAGGTACATTTTTCAGTGTAACTCCAGCCACAGAATCAAAGAATAATAGAGTTGGAAAGGAACCACATGGGCCATCTAGTCCAAATCTATCATGCAGGAAAAGCACAATCAAAGCATCCATCCTCTGTTTAAAAGCCTCCAAAAAAGGAGCTTCCACCACATGGTTCAAAGATTAAAAGCTGGACAATTGCAACATTCACACTTGCCTCAAGCAGACAAGTTCTTTCTCCCATCCTGGGCATTCCAGACATATAAACCCCACATGCCTAGTTTCCAACAGACCTCAAAACCTTGGAGGATGCCTGCCACAGATGCGTGTGAAACGTCAGGAGAGAATGTTTCTGGAACATGGCCATACAGCCCGGAAAACTCACAGCAACTTCGTAATTTTGGCCATGAAAGCCTTAGAATCAGAATTGGAAGAGACCTCAAGGGCCATCCAGTCCAACCCCCTGCCAAGAAGCAGGAAAATTGCATTCAAAGTACCCCCAACAGATAATCATCCAGCCTGTTTAAAAGTCATCTTTCATTAATCTTTTTTATTCTACAAAAGAGACATATGCAGTGTGCATAGGAAAAGGTTCATGTTTTTTTTTTCCAAACTATAGCCTGGCTCAACAGAATGAGGGAAGATGAACTGGCCCGACTTGGAAAATTTGGACTCCCCTGGTTTATGAGGGTATAGAATCATAGAATCAAAGAGTTAGAAGAGACCTCGTGGGCCATCCAGTCCAACCCCCTGCCAAGAAGCAGGAATATTGCATTCAAATCACCCCTGACAGATGGCCATCCAGCCTCTGTTTAAAAGCTTCCAAAGAAGGAGCCTCCACCACACTCCGGGGCAGAGAGTTCCACTGCTGAACGGCTCTCACAGTCAGGAAGTTCTTCCTCATGTTCAGATGGAATCTCCTCTCTTGTAGTTTGAAGCCATTGTTCGTGTCCTAGTCTCCAGGGAAGAAAACAAGCTTGCTCCCTCCTCCCTCACATATTTATACATGGCTATCATATCTCCTCTCAGCCTTCTCTTCTTCAGGCTAAACATGCCCAGCTCTTTAAGCCGCTCTTCATAGGGCTTGTTCTCCAGACCCTTGATCATTTTAGTCGCCCTCCTCTGGACACATTCCAGCTTGTCAATATCTCTCTTGAATTGTGGTGCCCAGAATTGGACACAATATTCCAGGTGTGGTCTAACCAAAGCAGAATAGAGGGGTAGCATGACTTCCTTAGATCTAGACACTATGCTCCTATTGATGCAGGCCAAAATCCCATTGGCTTTTTTTGCCGCCACATCACATTGTTGGCTCATGTTTAACTTGTTGTCCACGAGGACTCCAAGATCTTTTTCACACGTACTGCTCTCGAGCCAGGCATTCTCCCCCATTCTGTATCTTTGCATTTCATTTTTTCTGCCAAAGTGGAGTATCTTGCATTTGTCACTGTTGAACTTCATTTTGTTAGTTTGGCCCATCTCTCTAATCTGTCAAGATCGTTTTGAATCCTGCTCCTTTCCTCTGGAGTATTGGCTATCCCTCCCAATTTGGTGTCATCTGCAAACTTGATGATCATGCCTTCTAGCCCTTCATCTAAGTTATTAATAAAGATGTTGAACAGGACCGGGCCCAGGACGGAACCCTGCGGCACTCCGCTCGTCACTTCTTTCCAAGATGAAGAGGAAGCATTGGTGAGCACCTTCGGGGTTCGTCCATTTAACCAGTTACAGATCCACCTAACCTCCTCCCCCCCCCCTCCCAACTCTCCAATGTATAGTACACTCTTCAGGAACTGTTCTTGTTTTGCATTTCTTTTCCCAAAATGCATGCACTGTGAAGCAAGTTAGAGAGTCCAATAGGAGAGAAGAGCCTTCCTCAACTCTGGGTTCCCTCCCTCGCTGTGATCCTGAAGAGACTCGCTTCAACATCCCAGGAAAGGCAGGCTTAAAGAGCGACGACGACGCCTTCTTCCCGCCCTTTGTGCGCTCAGCTCCGCCCGGCAGGGGGCGCTGTCCCTCCGCAGCGCAGGCCGAATGCGGAAGTTGAGAGAAGGAAGGAAGGAAGGAAGGAAGGAAGGAAGGAAGGGGAGGCGTAGGGCGCGAGGCAAAGGCGAGAAGAGGAGGAGGGGGCGCGCGATGCTGGGCGCGCGGCGTGTAGTGTGCGCGCTCTCGGGCGGCGTCGACAGCGCCGTGGCGGCAGTCCTTCTCCGGCGGAGAGGTGAGCAGGAAGAGTCAGGCAGAGAGAGAGAGAGAGAAGGCCTCAAGCGTGGAGACCTCCTGCCTTCCTGCACGAACGGGCTCTGACTGAGGGGTCCCATACCGCCTCTTCCGAATCCCTTTTATTCCCTCACAACCCTTCCCTCTCGCCTTTCTCTCCGCTTTTATATAGAAGGGAAATAGGGTTTCCCGCGCTTTTTCTCACGGCACCCCCTAACATGAGTCAGTTTGTCTTCTCCTTGAAAGGGGGTGGTGGTGGAGTGTTCCCAAAACTCTCCAGTAAATATATATTCCAGTACACGTCTGTGTGCATACATTTATTAATTTATATAAAACATATTCCGCCCTTCTCACCCTGCAGGGGACTCAGGGCAGAGCACAACATATATATACGGCAAACATTCAATGCCAGGACATAAAACCATAAATATATACAAACATTAAAATCACTTATATTCACATTAAAAGTTGCTTTCAAACCATCTCAGGACACCATTTTGCCTCATTGCACTGCCCCGAAGGCTTGGTCCCACAGCCAGGTCTTCATCCTTCTGAAGGGCAGGAGGGAGGGGGGCTGATCTAATATTGCCCAGAAGGAAGTACCATAATAGGGGGGCAATCACTGAGAAGGCCCTGTCTCATCCACACCAAATGCGCCTGTGATAGCGGGTCCAAGAGCAGGGCCTCCCCAGAAGATCTTAGCATAATACAGGGTGAGGCAGCATAATTTCCTTTTTTCAAAACTTAATAAAATCCATTGTATGAATCAGAATTTTTTAATATCCCCTGGTGGCGCAGTGGGTTAAAGTACTGAGCTGCTGAGCTTGTTGATCGAAAGGTCGCAGGTTCGATTTTGGAGAGCGGCGTGAGCTTCCGCTGTCAGCCCTAGCTTCTGCCAACCTAGCAGTTAGAAAACATGCAAATGTGAGTAGATCAATAGGCACCGCTCCGGCAGGAAGGTAACGGCACTCCATGCAGTCATGCCGGCCACATGACCTTGGAGATGTCTACGGACAACGCTGGCTCTTCGGCTTAGAAATGGAGATGAGCACCACACCCCAGAGTCAGACATGACTGGACTTAATGTCAGGGGACAACCTTTACCTAGGCGCATACCTAAAGTTTTGTTTTACGTAGTTTTGAAGATCAAATTAGGTAGGTGACGTTCTCCATACATTGAGTAAAGCGATTTCTGGCGTTTGTCATGACTCTTGCCAGCATAGCAGGCGTTATGTTGGTCTTCAAATCTTGTAGGGTCCTTGGACGGTTTACATAAACACATGATTTCAAAAAACCCCATAGAAAAAAAATCACAAGGGTCCAAATCGGGAGAGCGGGCCAGCCACTCCAAATCCGCTCGAAAAGTAGGCCTCAATGGCAAAAGCACGCTCCTCACTGTTCCAATGCATGATGACGACTGAACTGTGTCAGGACAAAATTTTATACTCCCGCCTCTCGAACGAGACCACTAGCCTTCCACTACGTCTTCAACCGACTGAATGGCGCGCATTTTAAAAACGGAAGTTATGCTGCCTCACAATGTAGTATGAAAGCTGGGTCCGGAAGCTCTGAGCATTACTCTGTTTCTGCTTTGCTCCTTTGGGAGCGCTGTTTGCGCAACACAGAATGGAACACACGTATTATAGAAGGAATGTAAGAGTTCTTTAATGGTATAACCCTAAGACTAACCTATTAACCCTCATCCTAAACCTTATCCTAAACCGTATCCTAACCCTCCCCTCCTTTCTATCCTCCCAACAAATGCAACTACGAAGTATATTCCTGCCCTCAGTGTGCTGCTCTCCTCTTCCCTTATTCACAACCGCTGTTGCGGAATGTGCATAACGCTCGGGGCTTTCAGACCCAGCTATCATACTATCACTGATCTTAGTTTCCGCAGTGGTTTGTAAAGGGAGATGCGTTCAGACAGGTAAACTGGGCCGGGGCCTTTTAGGGCTTTATAGGCCAAAGCCAGCACTTTGAATTGTGCCCGGTAGCAAACAGGCAGCCAGTGGAGTTGGCGTAACATGGGAGTGTGTGCTCCCTGTATGCCGCCCCAGTTATTAACATGCCTGCCTCTTGTTGGATTATTTGAAGCTTCCGAACCGTCTTCAAACACAACCCCACCTAGCATTGCAGTAGTTTTTCCTGGATGTAACCAGAGCGTGGACCACCATGGCCAAGTCTGACTTCCCAAGGTATGGGCACAGCTATCACACAAGTTTTAATTGTGCAAAAGTCCCGCTGGCCACCGCTGCAACCTGAGGATCCAGACTCAGTGATGAGTCCAAGAGGACTCAGTAGTTTTTTTCTGGATGTACGAACCTGTGCCTTCAAGGGTAGTGTAACCCCATCCAGCACAGGCTGTAAACCTATACCCTGTTCAGCCTTGTCAGGATTCAACTTCAACTTGTTAACCCTCATCCAGACTGTCACAGTGGCCAGGCAGTTCATGACCTGGAAAGCCCCTTAGCATCTGGTGGAAAGGAGTAATAGAGTTGGACATCATCTGCATACAGATGGCATCAAACTCCAAAACTCCGGATAATCTCACCCAATGCAGGCCTGTATCCAGAAAAAAATTAAGGAGGGGTTGAATTTTTTTCCCCTAAGATGACTTTTCAAATAGTATGCTATGTCCAGGTTGGTTCATTAGGTGCCCTGCTATGACTGACTTATAGTCTACAGTGCCTTTCATGCTCTTTGATTCGTATTTGGGCGCTGTGTTTGGTGTTCCCTATGTAGACTACGTTCAGCAAAGGACAAGAGGGATCCTCTAACTACTGCAGGAGTCTACCATATACCAGCTGTGGACAAGTTTACATAGGGACCACCAAACGCAGCATTGCCCAAAACAAATCAAGTAACATGAAAGGCACTGCAGACTAACTCAATCAGAGAAGTCAGCCATAGCACAGCACTTGATTAACCAATATGCTGATGGACACAGCATATTATTTGAGAACGCAGAAATGTTGGACCACTCTAACAACCACCATCATTTATTTATTTAGAACATTTGTATCCTGTCCTATTCTCAGCCGCCGAAGAGGGACTCAGGGTGGTTTCCAACAATATAAAACACTAATAAAATATATAGTTACAGAAAATGATAATAAATATACATTTAAAAACAGTTCACCAGGTCTAAAGCGGCAACAACCCTCATTTATGAAGTAGGGACGGGAATAACCAGCAAAATGGGGGACATTGTTTTCCTCCTTTAGCCCCCCCCCCCCCCATAAATTAGATTTTATTATCTCTAGCACACCCTAGTGACCTCTGCCCAGAGAATGGAATAGTACCTAATTGCGAAGTATTTTGAAAGAGTGTGAAAGATGACCACACTTTCTGATGGACTCGTGTTGCAGCTCCCTAGGTGTTGGACCACAAATCCTGCCATCCCATAATTTGCTGTGCTGTTTGAGAGTCTCAACATGAAAAGACATGCTTCCCACCATGGTTATTTACACTTTCCTTCAAAGTAACCCCAATATATACAGTGATATATAACACTGTGTAACACGTTTTTTCTTATGGTTCTATTGTAAAAACATGTGGAAAGTTTATTAAACTGCAAAAACATTGTTTTTGTGGGACATCCTGCAGCACATTTTTATTTATTTATTTATTTATTTATTTATTTGCGGCATTTGCAACCCTGAAGGGGACTCAGGATAGTTCACAGTGTTGTCAACAATTCAGGGAGGTTTCTCCAGCCTTGTAAAATAGAGAAAGCACCAATGTGGGAAATACCTTGCTTAGAAACACAGTCCTTTTTCATAGTAATAAACTGATGGATCATTTAATTTGTAAGGATTTTCCAAAATGATTTTTCATTGAACATCATTTCTTTCCCTCTCTCGGTTTTTCATTCTTCCATAGGATATGAAGTGACTGGAGTTTTTATGAAGAATTGGGACATTGCGGATGAAAAAGGAGTTTGCTCTGCTGACAAAGACTGTGAAGATGCCTACAGGGTTTGTGAGATACTCGACATTCCATTTCATCAGGTTTCCTATGTAAAAGAATATTGGAATGATGTCTTCAGGTAGGGAATTTTTACGAACTTTTTGCTAAAATATCACCTTGCATTAGAGTTAATGTTAATTGATGGTGGAACTTCCAATGTTAAGTAGGACAGGGATAGGAGGATTGTGCAGCCAGTGTTAGAAACCCTGCAAACTTAAGAAAGTTCCTTTGCCATAATGAGCAGAAGACGACTATCAAAATAGTCATATGTGGACTCCTTATCTATGTTGCATAGAAACAAAAACTTCCTTTTTATTTTATTACATCATATTTGCAGCACATATCATGGGATTTAGAATTATAGAATTATACGTCAGTATTTCTTGGTTGTAGTTGAAAAAATATTCATGAAAGAGAAGTTTTACTGCAGTATTTCCAATTTTTATATTTGATTTTGAGGAAGGTAATATAATTTATTTGCTTCCACTGTAAGACTTCATATGTCGGTGTTTTTGCTATGTTTCCTGTTGTTGTTGTTCATTCGTTCAGTCGTCTCCGACTCTTCGTGACCTCATGGACCAGCCCACGCCAGAGCTCCCTGTCGGCCGTTACCACCCCCAGCTCCCTCAAGGTCAGTCCAGTCACTTCAAGGATGCCATCCATCCATCTTGCCCTTGGTCGGCCCCTCTTCCTTTTCCTTCCATTTCCCCAGCATCATTGTCTTCTCTAAGCTTTGCTGTCTCCTCATGATGTGGCCAAAGTACTTCAACTTTGTCTCTAGTATCTTTCCCTCCAGTGAGCAGTCGGGCTTTATTTCCTGGAGGATGGACTGGTTGGATCTTCTCGCAGTCCAAGGCACTCTCAGCACTTTCCTCTAGCACCACAGCTCAAAAGCATCGAACTTCCTTCGCTCAGCCTTCCCTAAGGTCCAGCTCTCACATCCGTAGGTTACTACAGGGAATACCATGGCTTTGACTAGGCGGATCTTTGTTGCCAGTCTGATGTCTCTACTCTTTACTATTTTATCGAGATTGGACATTGCTCTCCTCCCAAGAAGTAGGCGTCTTCCTGTAGTAGTCCAAAATCCAAAATTATTCTCTCCTCTTCCCGTAGAAGTTGTTGGGAGCAAGGTCCAAGCTTGAGCAGAAACAGCATACATGAAATAAAATCAGGGAAAACGGCTTGTTTAGTTCTTGCCATGTTGCTTAGGTGATAATGCGATGTATTAGACCAGGGGTCCTCAATCTAAGGCCCAGGGACCAGATACGGCCCTCCGGGGTCATTTACCTGGCCCTTGCTCAGGGTCAACCTAAGTCTGAAATGACTTGAAAGCACACAACAACAACAACAACAATCCTATCTCATCAGCCAAAAGCAGGCCCACACTTCCCAGTGAAATACTAATAAGTTTATATTTGTTAAAATTGTTATTCATTTTAATTATTGTATTGTTTTAAAGTATTTTTTGCACTACAAATAAGATATGTGCAGTGTGCATAGGAATTCATGCAAGTTTTTTTTCAAATTATAATCCAGCCCTCCAGCAGTTTGGAGGACTGTGACCTGGCCCTCTGTTTAAAAAGTTTGAGGACCCCTATATTAGACCTTTGTTTTTCCACAGAAATACGGTGCATTCCAGTCCATACTTCATTAGGAGTAAGGTCCAGTGAATTTACTAACATTTCTTTCTCCTTAGACATGCATGAGAATGTGTTCCACGAGGTTTATTGGTGCACCCATATAGAAAGAGTTCCTTTAAATGTAAGCACACATGAGACTACCCTTCAAAAATGGTTCTATATTATGTTTTCCAGCTACCTCTTAAATGAATATGAATTAGGAAGGACTCCGAATCCTGATATTATATGCAACAAATACATCAAATTCAATCATTTTTTTCATTATGCTGTGGATAAACTTGGTAAGTTCATTTGCACTGAGCATATTATTAAAAGAAAATGATAGAGAAATTGCAACTTTATGAGGCGCAGATGTGAAAATATACTGGATACGGTGAGCTTCGTACACAGTATTCTTGTGTCCTGTGATGAACCTGCTGTAGATTTTACTGATTTTTTTTTTTAAACTTGCATTGATGTTCTGGGGAATTTTCTGACTTTAGGGATTAAAATTCCCCATGTCCACAGTAATAGTTGTGAGTGTAGAATGAAGGATGTCTCACAATATCCAAATGAGAGGCCAAAAAAAGCATGTTCACACCAGGTAGAGCATTTGTTTGATGAACTAAACCAGGGGTCCTCAAACTAAGGCCCAGGGGCCAGATACAGCCCTTCAAGGTCATTTACCCGGCCCTTGCTCAGGGTCAACCTAAGTCTGAAACGACTTGAAAGCACACAACAACAATAACAATTCTATCTCATCAGCCAAAAGCAGACCCACACTTCCCATTGAAATACTAATAAGTTTATATTCATTAAAATTGTCTTCATTTTAATTATTGTATTGTTTTAAGTGTTTTTGCACTATAAATAAGATATTTGCAGTGTGCATAAGAATTCATTCATACTTTTTTTCCAAATTATAATCTGGCCCTCCAACAGTTTGAGGGACTTTGACCTGGCCCTCTGTTTAAAAAGTTTGAGGATCCCTGAAACAAGCCCCTTTTTATAGCCCCCCTCCCCCTCCAAGATGGAAGTAATATATTTTTGTGCCCTAAAAATAATGCCACTGTTATCTCAGCTTGTGTAAACCTCTCAAATTAGGAAATGGGCATAAAACCCAAAGGAAACATTGGCTTCCATTTATTTGCAGGTAGATGTGGCATTGGTGTTATTATGATGTAATTTTCTGCCCCAATCACAAAACTGTTTGCTGAGAAAAACATCTCCAACTGAAGGGCCATTCTTCGACAAGCTATTGACAATTAGAGCTTGTCATTTGGATGCTGCAGTGGTCCTTACTATCCAAATTGGATTATACTGTGTGATGTGGCTTGTTCTGTCATAGGGCGCCAGTATATATTAGATCTAGCCCTAGCAGACATTCTGTCTGTGCTAAGCGAATGAAACATTGTCTCCAGCAGTTTGTTGAGAATGGAAATATGGTTGAAATAGTGCTGTCACAAAGATTATAAGATTCCAGGATTGCTTTATTGTCTGTAAGGATTTATGTCCATAATCCAATACTCACTTAGGAGCAATTCTCAGAGAATTCAGTAGGGCTTTTGTATACATAGAGATATATAAGATTGAGTTGCAGATTTGTCACAGTATTAAGATATAATTCTGCTGTATATAGACTCTTTTTCAAAACTTTTGAAACATACCTGTGTGTTCTAATGTACATTTTGAAACATTGCAGGAGCAGATGCAATTGCAACAGGTCATTATGCCAGGACCTCCCTGGGAGACAATGAAGTATTCCAGCAAAAATACATTCAGAGGCCACAAGGGCTCTTCAGAAATAGATTTGAAAAAAGAAATAGTAAGTACCTCTTTGTTTATATTTGGATTTTGTATTCCATATCATATGGTAAATAATAATAATAATAATAATAATAATAATAATAATAATAATAATCTTTATTTCTACCCCGCCACCATCTCCCCAATGGGGACTTGGGGCGGCTTACATGAGGCCAAGCCCAAACACAGATTACAGCAGAATAAAACTGAAAACGCAAACCGAAAACGTAGATAATAAAAAATAACATCATAAAGGAACAGGAGATATGTGTCTTACCAGAGGCCCTCATTGCTGGATGTGTTGAGGCTGATGTGAGTTGTGCTCCCAACAACCTATAGATGTCCTGTGTAAACCAATTTTAGCTTTTCCTTCCCGGTTTTGGCTCAAGTTGTAAAGCAGAAGCAACTATGGTTTTCAGATGTAATCTTTTTACATGTGTGTCCTGGCAGAGCTATCACATGTATCCCAAACTGAATGGATCACAGTGGTAATGCTTGCTGGATAGGCCAGATTTCAGTGATTCTTGGTTTTGGCTGGGGAATAGCTTGGAAAGGTGGAGCTTTGCTTTTCCTAGCTTTACATTGGGGAACGTTGCACATTTTCCCATAATCTAGATCAATGTTTCTGAACCTTTATTTGACCAGGGACCACTTCAACCAGGGACCACTCTCCAACATTAGTACCAAAGGGGTTATGAATCAGTTTTTGGTCAATTTTAGGTTCAGTTGGGTTATTTGGTGTGCTGATTCAGGATTGGACAGACTACATCAGCTCTAGTTTCTGATACAGAACATATGCCATCTAGTAGTCGTCATTTTCTCGCCCACAGAAAACCATATTTAATAATCTAGAGCTGATGTGGTGGTAAGTAATCTTTCGTGGGTAGTCAGCCTCTCCCCTCCCGACATCCCTGTTGCCTCAGCACTTTAAGAGGATTTCACGAGACCAGCCTCTCTTGTTGCTGCATGGTTTCAAGGCAATGGTGTAGTAATGGTGAGGCTGCGGACCATATTTTCATTCTTGAGGACCACAGGTGGTCCATGGACCACAGGTTGGGAAGCACTGATCTAGATTCCCCGTTGTTTATGTCCTGTGGAGATATCCAAGGCAATAGAGTGATTCCTGCCACGAAAGTGAGTGACAGAACTTTTATTGTTGACAGAATCCTTCCGCTGCGCCTTTGGCATGTAGGTGCACAACATGATACTATTGCTCCTCTCAATGCTTCTGCCACTGGAGTACATGTCCTTCAAATGGGAAGTTTAGTTTCACAACCCTGTGTGTTTTTATGAGCTCCCTGCAAATAACCTGCTCCTATTTTTATCTCATTAGAGTCCTTTAATCATTTTATCCTGTACATGTGGCCCACCCACTGTTATCGTGATTGTGTTTATTGGAATGTTATTTTGTTACTATTTATACTTTTTTTCTATGTAATTTTGATTATGTTGCTTGTTGTTTGTTTTGGTTTTTATTTTGCTGTAACATGTTGGCCCCATGTAAGCCGCTCCGAGCCCCCATTGGGGAGATGGTGGCTGGGTATAAATAAAGTTTATTATTATTTATTATTAATCCTGTGTGCTCCTCAGAGGTTCCTTTCTTGCAACCCCAGATTTCCCCACTGGTTAATGCCGGTGATCTTGCTCATGATTTGAATGAAAGAAAAATTTGAGGAGTAGCACCAACCATCCAAATATTTGCAGAATGATTAGGTCTTTATATATATCTCGGAAGCCTCACCTGCCATGAACAGAGGTGTGAGCTTCAGGATGGCCAAATAGACTCTTAAGACAGTGGTTCCCAACCTGTGGGTCCCCAGATGTTTTGGCCTTCAACTCCCAGAAATCCTAACATCTGGTAAACTGGCTGGGATTTCTGGGCCAAAACAACTGGGGACCCACAAATTGAGAACCACTGTTCCAAGACATCTAACATAGACAGTGTTCATGGATTTCAAGAATTGTATATCAAAATGTTGGCAAGGCTAAACATTCCCAAGTCCTGCTTTAAGTTATAGGCAAAAAGACCATGAACTGCAAATGTAAGGCAGGCTATGAAGCCATCTCACATTACTTAGTCTCTCCTGTTTCCATCCAGATGTAAAGCTTCTTCAAGCGGCTGATCAGTTTAAGGACCAAACGTTCTTTCTCAGCCAGATTTCACAGGAAGCCCTGCGGAGAACGATTTTTCCTCTGGGAGATTTAACTAAAGACTTTGTAAAAAAGATTGCTGCAGAGCATCACCTCCACCATGTACTGCAGAGAAAAGAGGTATTGCAACGCTTCGCTACTGCTGAGGGGGAAAAGGAAGGGGCCCGAGGCTGTTAGGAATTGTGGGAATTGAAGTCCAGAACACTTATTTATAGTATCTACGTAACAATAGTTTAAATGTGTATCCATTTTGTAGATGCATCCAAAAGAGATGCCCAAAGACTGCTTCTTATTTCTATCCGAGTAGATTTACATCTCATATAACATGCTGCCCCAAATGGTAAAATCAAGCATGTTTTCTGGGCCCTTGCCATAGAATAAAAGGTGATGAACAACCATTATGAATGGCACATTTACTGGAAGAGTCATGATTATTTTTTTAAAGAGACACAATTTGTGAAGAAGGTCTTGTAACTGAGATCATTCTGTTACTTTAGTGGCTCTGGTTTTGTGTGATTACTTTCTGGGTGTAATTCCTTGGAGCTCGACTGTTCTACAGATTGGGAGATAATGAGCAAGGATTAGTTACTTCAACTCCCCCAAGCAGACATTTGAAAGAGTTTTCTGTTTAACAGTTTTTTGTATGACCTGGATAGCATTTCCCTTTCATGCCTTTCTGGAACTATTTCTTTAACTCATTAAATTTGTATTTTGTACATTTGGCAGGGACCGTTCCTTTTGCTTCTAGCGTATTGATAGATATACAGGGGAAATAATAATTAGGATAATTATTGTTATATTTGTTTGTACTACTTTTCCCCCCAGTGATGCAGCAGGTAAACTGCTCAGCTGTTCAACTTGCTGACTGAAAGGTCAGCAGTTCAAATCTGGGGAGTGGAGTGAGCTCCCACTGTTAGCCCCAGCTTCTGCCAACCTAGCAGTTTGAAAACATGTAAATATGAGTAGATCAATAGGTGGAAAATGGAGCCCCCGGTGGCGCAGTGGTTAAACCCCTGTGCCGGCAGGACTGAAGACCGACAGGTCGCAGGTTTGAATCTGGGGAGAGGCGGATGAGCTCCCTCTATCAGCTCCAGCTCCTCATGTGGGGACATGAGAGAAGCCTCCCACAAGGATGATAAAACATCAAATTATCCGGGCGTCCCCTGGGCAGTGTCCTTGCAGACGGCCAATTCTCTCACACCAGAAGCGACTTGCAGTTTCTCAGGTCGCTCCTGACATGACCAAAAAAATAGGTATCGCTTCGGCGGGAAGGTAACGCCGCTTCATGCAGTCATGCCATCCACATGACCTCTATGGACAACAACGCAGATTCTTTGGCTTAGAAATGGAGATGAGCAGCACCCCCAGAGCCAGAATTGACTAGACTTAACGTCAAGGGGAAACCGCTACCTTTACATATCACTCTTCTCTCAGGATCAAAAACCAAAGAGGCTCATAACTTTAAAAAATAGACAGTTAAAAAAAACCTACGACTTATAGCATTACTTTGGATTAATTATTACAGTTATTAAAACAAAATACATCTATCTTCTGTGTCATCAACAGAGATTTTCACAATGCTTGTACTTCTGAAATGTTGATCAGAGAACCTTATTGTGTTTTATTTTAGAGCATGGGGATCTGTTTCATTGGTGAAAGGAATTTTGAAAAGTTCATTCTTGAGGTGAGGAAATACAGGTGTGCAACATCTCTAAAATTATGTGTTGGGTTTGCCTTTTTAAAAATGCTGATCAGTATTTTCACTTTGTTTTAATGTTTCAGATTGTGGCCCAGCAAATAGGTTTTACATTGAGTTATTTTTCTTGTAGTATTTGGAGCCGCGCCCAGGCAATTTTGTTTCCATCGAAGATGATAAAGTCATTGGAACACACAAAGGTCAGCAAGTATTTTGACATTTGGCTGCTTCTCTCTTGGTCAATGTTGCTGAAATGTTGATGTTCATTATATTGCTTCCATAGTCACTTTCTCATGGGGATGTCTCAAAAGGCAGTTGTGTTGGTGCATATCTTTGTGTCCATGTAAGAGCAAGAAACACACCCAGTGGTTCAGCGTGTTGCTTTCTGTGTATTGTCGAAGGCTTTCATGGCCGGAATCACTGGGTTGTTGTAGGTTTTTTCAGGCTATATGGCCTCTGGGGGTCGCGAGGGAGTGTCAGAGGGGTCGCCAAAAACCATCAGAAAACATACTATTTTCTGTTGGTCATGGGAGTTCTGTGTGGGAAGTTTGGCCCAATTCTATCCTTGGTGGAGAACAGAATACTCTGATTGTAGGTGAACTATAAATCCCAACAACTACAACTCCAAAATGTCAAGGTCTATATTCCCCAAACTCCACCAGTATTCACATTTGGGCATATTGAGTATTTGTGTCAAGTTTGGTCCAGATCCATCATTGTTTGAGTGCACAGTGCTCTCCAGATGTAGGTGAACTACAACTCCAAAACTCAAGGTCAATGCCCAGCAAACCCTTCCCATATTTTCTCTCGGTCATGGGAGGTCTGTGTTCCAAATTTCAGTTCCGTTGTTGGTGGATTTCAGAATGCTCTTTGATTGGCGGTGAACTATAAATTCCAGCAACTACAACTACAACTCCCAAATGACAAAATCAATCCTCTCCACAACCCCACCAGTATTCAAATTTGGTTATATTATTGGATATTTGTGCCCAGTTTGGTCCCATGAATGCAAATATATCCTGCATATCGGATGTTTACATTACGATTCATAATAGGAGCACAATTACAGTTGTGAAGTAGCAACGAAAATAATGTGATGGTTGGGGGTAACCACAACATAAAGAACAGTATTAAGGGGTCGCGGCATTAGGAAGATTGAGAAACACTGTTCTAGAGGCATTCTCTCCTGACGTTTCGCCTGCATCTATGACAAGCATCCTCAGAGGTAGTGAGGATGCTTGCCATAGATGCAGGTAAAATGTCAGGAGAGTATGCCTCTAGATTATGGCCATTTAGCCCAAAAAAACCTACAACCACCCAGTGTTGCTTTCTTTTATTTCAAGAAATCTTTCACTTCTTTCAATTAGCACCAGGGAGCATTATTGTATATCAAAGCCAGTAAACAGGTTTTGCCAGTTTTCCTCTCCAGGAGGAGCAGACCTTTTCGAAAGCTAATGGGCCTGAAGTGTCAATTCAACACTGAGCTAAGCAGAAATATTTTGCATTGTAATGCGAATAGCTCAGCAAATAGGGTATTACTGGGAAAATTCATCAATGGCTGCTTTTGTTAGTACTGAAGGAAAAAGTGACGCTGAAGGGGTGGTAGATGTCAGTGCTAATGAGAAAGTCTTAACCTTTTGATTTGAAGAGCCTTGGCTCTACTGTGTTGCTGCAGCTGCAGTTGTTGTATGCCTTCAAGTAGTTTCTGACTTCTGGTGACCCTAAGGTGAACCTGTCACAGCTTTCTTGGGAGAACTTGTTCAGAGAGAATTTACTCTTGTCTTTGAAGCTGAGGCCCCTTCTTCTTAGGCGATCCCTCATTGTACGAGTAGGATTGTCTTCCAAGATTGGTGTACTGGCGGTGGGTCCGTAGGTGACTGTGGAGCCCTATTCTTGACCTGCATGTTCTCCTGCAGTGAGGGCATTGGTTTCCAGGTGGAAGGCAGTCCTGGTCGGGGTTGGCTTGACGCGCCTTTCTCTTGGCACATTTCTCTCTTTCACCCTCCATTTGTGCCTCTTCAAATTCTGCAGCACTGCTGTTCACAACTGACCTCCAGCTGGAGCACTCAAGGGCCAGGGCTTCCCAGTTCTCAGTGTCTATGCCAGAGTTTTTAAGGTTGGCTTTGAGAACATCTTTAAATCACTTTTCCTGCCCACCAACATTCCGTTTTCTGTTCTTGAGTTCGGACTAGAGCAACTGCTTTGGGAGATGGTGGTTGGGCATCTGGACAAGGTGGCCAGTCCAGCGGAGTTAATGGTGGAGGACCATCACTTCAGTGCTGGTGGTCTTTGCTTCTTCCAGCACGCTGACATTTGTCTGCTTGTCTTCCCAAGAGATTTGCAGGATTTTTTGGAGGCAATGCTGATGGAATCGTTCTAGAAGTTGTATGTGATGTCTGTATATAGTCCACGTCTCGCAGGCGTATAGCAGGGTTGGGAGGACAATAGCTTTATAAGCAAGCACCTTGGTATCCCTACGGATGTCCTGGTCCTCAAACACTCTCTGCTTCATTCGGAAAAATGCTGCACTCGCAGAGCTCAGGCGGTGTTGTATTTCAGTGTCAATGTTGACTTTTGTGGAGAGGTGGTTGCCAAGGCCCCTTCTACACTGCCATGTATTATCTGCTTTGAACTAGATTATATGGCAGTGTATACTCATATAATCAAAAGTAGATAATGTGGATTATCTGTTTTGATAATCTGGGTTATATAGCAGTGTAGCAAACATGACTTCCTCGAAATCACCCAGTGGGTTTTCATGGCTGAGCAAGCATTCAGACATGCAAACTATCATGTTGGCTCTTAAGTGGCTATGTTGTGCTATTGCATTTCACTAATATTAGGATGGTAAAGCATCAAACATCCAGACATCCTCTGGGCAACATCCTTGCAAACGGGCAATTCTCTCACACCAGAAGCATCTTGCAGTTTCTCAAGTTGCTCCTGACACGGGAAAAAAAAACCAACAACCTAAGATTGGACATTGCCATGTAAAATCCAGATTATTTGCTTTGAACTAGATAATTTGTAAAGAAAAGTATTTCCATTTTTTAAAACTAGGCTGTATAATGTTAATATTTTGTGTAACTGTGTTTTATTGCTTCTGGGCTTGTATGTCATGAACAGGAAGCAGGTGTCCCAGTTAGCAGTAGTGTACAGCCTCTAAGACCTGCAGAATATCCCCCCCCCCCCAAACATCTGGCAGTTAAAGCTACAAAACAGGCAGTGTGGTATGCTTTCTGTGTTGTGGTTTTATTAGCCAATGCATGGTTGAAAAGGGGGGCCTTTCTGAAGTCACCCAAAGTGTGATCCTTTAATCCTTTAAAAGTGAAACAGTACAGCAATATAAATATAAACATGCTTAAGGAGGAATCTGTTAATGCTGGAAATTAGACCAGACATGTATCGGAAGAAGGAACAATTTTCAGAAAGAAAGGGAGTGTAATAATTGCTGGGTTTAGCCTTGGCCTTCAGCTGTGTGAGAGGCTTTCGGAGGAAGGGTGGATTCAGTAGCTTTGCCTTGTTTTTTTTTTCTTTGACCCCAAGGAAGTTCTGACCTAATTCCTCGTGACATTCAGTACTAAGTCTGAATTGTGCATTTTTAAATGCACCTGGATTTTTCCTTAGCTGTAGACCCCTCAGGTCCTAAACAAAGCAGTTATGTATATGTACTCCAAGCTCCTCTTTTTGAAGTTGAAAGGTTTAAATATATAGGTGGAAAACTTGTCTTCTGTCAAAATGGTTAAATATTGATATTCTTGTTTTGATCTTATCTAATTCCACTACTGGAAAATTACTTTGAAAAAGCAATAGCTCTAAGAGGTAGAATAGGTAGTTGGTTAGAAATACAGCATTGGGGGAAAGAAACTGTTTTTTCTATTATTTAAAAGTAACAAAAATGTTACTTTTTATTACTTTTTTTAAAAAGCCCAACACATCAAAATGAATACTAGTTGGCGGCCTGAGGTATAAAATGCACCAAAGTACTAAGTCCATTAAAACCTGGCAACTGTGCCATGACCTCTCGTTATTTTTAAATTATTATCTACTGTATATACTCAAGTATAAGCCTAGTTTTTCGGTCCTTTTTTTAGGCTGAAAAAGTTTCCCTCTGCTTATACTCGAGTCAACGTTTTTTATTATTTTACTCTATTACTATTATTATCATTATTATTATTATTACATTAATCATTTTAATCTATTATTATTATCACATTTATTATTTTATTCTTTATTATTGTTATTATTACATTTATTATTTTACTCTATTATTATTGGAAGAATATCTAAACACATTTACACTGAAGAAGGTTAGAATAATGCTATAATCAGAGGACAGTCTTATCTTATTTATTCTAAAGCCTACCGATGCCCCAATTAATGCAATTTTATTGGTATCTATTTTTATTTTGGAATTTACCACTGCTGCTGCATTTCCCACCCTCGGCTTATACTTGAGTCAATATGTTTTTCCAGTTTTCTGTGGTAAAATGAGGTGCCTCGGCTTGTATTCGGGTCAGCTTATACTTGAGTATATATGGTAATTTAGTTGCAATTTAGTCTAATTTAGTTGCAAAAAGAAATTGGCAATAATATTTTGTAGCAAGTTAATTTCAAGTTCTGCCTAAAAGTGAGAAACGTATGAGTTGCAGCATTATGGAAACGTGTCTCCTGTTGGCATTGCCAGAATATATACAGGCAGTCCCTGAGTTACAAACAGCCAACTTATAAATGACTCATAGTTAAGAACAGAGGCGAGACAACAGGAAGTGAGAGGAATCTGCCCCTTGGAAGGGAAATTTGCTCCTAAAAGACTTTTAATGATGGGGAAAATGGCTCTCCATTGAAGCTTTCTCACCAATTCATGTTTCCACAACAAGCCAAATTTTTCAAAATCCAATTATCACAGGGACTGAAAGTGAGGTGAAATCTTCAGATCAAGGACACAGACTGTCAAACAGACACCACAGGGGTGTTCACTCTTCCCTATGCTATTCAAAGCTTGAATAGATAAATAGGCTGGAGTTATATTTTAAAATGTACTTTTTATGCCAGTAGAACTTCATTTACCTTATGCCCACAATATCACTGCTTATTGATTTTTTTGCTTTAGAATTCAGTCCTGTTAGAAATCAGTTGATCTTGAAATCTAGGATAGAACCTGTTTAAGATTGTTAGCCAAGTTGGCTCTAAATGGATGCTTCATAATATGTTTACATTTGATCCATCTGTGTAGTTTTGTAGGAAAATGAAACAAACTCACATTTACTAGTGAAGACTGCTTCCTAGTTTACTTTAACCTATAAGTCTTGATGAATTTTATCATCAGATAAAGATTTAATAATTTTGGATATAATTTTAGCAGCAATCCTTTTGGAGGAAATGTGCATTTATAACAACTTTCATCACTACAGTGCTATTTATTTATTTATTTATCGTGTCATCAGCAACCATTGTATTACAATTCTAACAGAGCAAAACAAACACAGAGATTAAAAAGAAAAAGGAAAAAAAAACAAAGAAAGAAATCCACACAGATTTTGTAAATTTGGTATTTGGTTAAATGTCCTTTGACCAGTATCTGGCCACTTGGAGTGCCTCTGGGGTTGCCGCAAGAAGGACATGAGAGAAACCTCCTCGCAGGATTGCAAGACATCCGGGCGTCCCCTGGGCAACGTCTTCGTAGACGGCCGATTCTCTCAACCCAGAAGCAACCAGAGACTACAGTGCTAGTAAATTGAGAAATTAAGCTTGGTGTGTCTCTTGCATTTCCTTTAATTTGTGCTGCCATTTTCAGATGATTTTGTTAATAACTACAGTTTGAAAAACCTGGAAATAATTTACCTAGAATTCCCACTAAGTCTTCCTGGCTAGTTGTCTTAAATACTGTGAACGTGCAGTATTTCAATGTGTGTATAGGCATTTCAGGCAGTATGAAAGATAATTTTCAACATGCTCAGTATTGTTTCAGTACACATTGGAGAATGTATCCATGTCACACACGGTGAGATCTGTGAATTAAGGTTTACCTTTGAAGTATTTTTAACAAGAGAAAATGCAGTCGTTGATAATTACCTTCTTGTGTCGGCTGAACTGCTGACCTGAAGGTTGGCGGTTCGAATCCACGAGATGGGATGAGTTCCCTCTGTCAGCCCCAGCTTCCCATGTGGGAACATGAAAGAAAGAAGGATGGTAACACATCCGGGCATCACCTGGGGCAGACAGCCGATTATCTCACACCAGAAGCAACTTGTTGTATATTTTCAAGCCGCTTCTGACATGATTAAAAGAAAAACCTTAATATTCACATGTTGAACCCTTCAGTATCTTAGAAACATTAGTTTAATAACCAGAATGCTTTTGTCTGTTGGAAAGGAGGCAAATGTAAGATTGATATACCTATTAGAACATGCCTTAAGCAATGTTGACAGGATACATTTTTAATTATTACATTCCTCTTTTTTTAAAAAGGTTGGTTCTTGTATACACTTGGACAGAGAGCCAGAATATCAGGCCTCAGAGATGCTTGGTTTGTTGTAGATAAAAATACAGCTTCTGGGGATGTCTTTGTGGTAAGTCTGCTTTTGCTTGTTCTGTTTGTGATTCCTGCCGAAAAGAATGTGGTTTTTACTGGCCCGGGATTCTTGGCTTTTGCTTCCAAAGGAGGAAGAAAAGCCATTAAGTGAAGTGGTATGTTACATTACATCCTGTCCTAACGGACTCCTGGATGACAGAATGTGGAAATGGATGTTGGCACTAAGTAACAAAATGGCAAACAATGAAAGAAATGATCAGGCAGTTGTATTGTTTCAAAATGGATTTAGTCCACCTTGCAACTAAGTTGGTTTAGTTGATCCTGTTATTATTTATCTTTGATCTGTTACAATTGCTAGTTACTGCTATTAAATTTCTGCCCAGAACAACCAATTTTGTCTCATTTTAGAGTACTTGAAGCATTAAAAAGATATTTTCTGGCCTGCAACTTCACAGAATCCCACAAGCTGTATAGTCACACACTATGTGGAGTGAAATCTGGGTATTCTAGCCTGAGGAATTGCTTTTCCAGCTGTGCAATTAATTACAATGGTGGCACAGCAGGTTAAACCATTGAGCTGCTGAACTTGCTGACATTTGAAAGGTCAGCTGTTCAAATTCAGGGAGCATGGTGAGTTCCTGCTGTTAGCCCCAGCTTCTGCCAACCTAGTAGTTCAAAAACATGCAAATGTGAGTAGATCAATAGGTACCGCTCCAGCAGGAAGGTAATGGCACTCCATGTCATGCCAGCCACATGACTTTGGAGGTGTCTGTGGACATTGCCAGCTCTTTGGCTTAGAAATGGAGATAAGCACCACCCCCCAGAGTCAGACACGACTATGGAAACCATGGGATTGCCATACGTCAGCCAGTGAGTTGAAGGCAAACATACCTGACACACACAGGAGCTTGCAAAGGAAGGGAAACCCCAGCTCGTCTGCAGTTCATAGCACTTTCTTGAAGGAATTGCCTGGAGGTGATTTCCTGCATCATTCCAAGACTCCTCTGATCTTTATGAAGATTCAATAAGCTTCAGTTCTTTCGACTTGTAAGCAATAGCTTGAGGCAAGTTAGATTACAGGAATGAAAAATTTGTGGCCCTCCAAGACTTTAGCTCCCATCTTCCTTCACTACATGGACCACAAAGTATTGTGCACTATATAAAAATGAAAGATGTTACAACCAAAGTTTCTTGTATTACTAATGACTTCCTTCAGTTTGAATATAAAGCATTGTTCCTGTTCTCACTTTTGATCCTTTAAATTGATTTTGAAGTTGCTCTTATGCTTTTCTGTAATGTTTTGCCACACTGAGTTGTAATTTGATATTCTCGCCCTTAAGGCACCCTCCACGGACCACCCTGCCCTTTACAGAGGTCTCTTGCGGACAAACAGAGTGCACTGGATTGCGGAGGAACCTCCCGCTGAACTGATTCGGGACAAAATGATGGAGTGCAATTTCCGCTTCCAACACCAGATGGCACTAGGTGACCAGACTTCGTCGATTTCTCAAAAACTTTTAGTGTAATTTCCCACCTGCATTTCCTTTTTCAAAGAAAAGAGACAGACGTAATTGCAGATTGACATTTATTTGCGTCTTAGATAACTGGATGAGTGTGTAGATGCTCATGGTTTCACATTTTCTTGCATTTCCCTTTTAGTGCCTTGCACATTAACTCTGAATCAGGATGGGACTGTGTGGGTCACACTAGTTACACCCTTGAGGGCTCTGACACCAGGGCAGGTATGTTTTCAACTTGTTGACTGTGTTTTAACTCTGCATCTGTTTTAACTCTGGAAGTCTTTTTACATTTACTATTGGTCATTTAACAGTTTGATTAACTTCTGCAGATTTTTTTAAAAGCTCAAAATATATTGAAACTTCTCAGTTTACTTTTGCTATAGGACCGTCACACTTTATAATGCCGTTATACTTCCACTGCCAAAATATGAAATGCCGAGATTTGCAGATTTGAGTCCTTGGCCGTAGAGCTCTCAGACCTTACTAAACTACAAATCTCACTATTTCACAGGATGCAGCAATAGTGGTGGAAGTGGAATGGTAGTGTTATAACAATGTGGTGTGATAGATCCCTCTATAATTCTTTGTGTTCTTAATCGGTATATATAAAAATGCTCTGTGCATAATGAGTACCTTAAAAACAAAAGACCTAATGAACGAAATCACACCAAATATGGCAACAAAACGTCTCACAACACAAGGAGTGATCATCACTCAAAAAATTATGATTTTGTCATTTGGGAGTTGTAGTTGCTGGGTTTTATAGTTCACCTACAATCAAAGAGCATTCTGAACTCCACCAACGATGGAATTGAACCAAACTTGGCACAGAGAACTCCCTTGACCATCAGAAAATACTGGAAGGGCTTCGTGGGCATTGACTTTGAGTTTGGGAGTTGTAGTTCACCTTCATCCAGAGAGCACTGTGGACTCAAACAATGATGGATCTGGACCAAACTTGGCACAAGCACTCAATACGCCCAAATATGAAGACAGATGGAGTTTGGGGGAAATAGACTTTGACATTTGGGAGTTGTAGTCACTGGGATTCACAGTTCACCTACAATCAAAGAGCATTCTGAACCCCACAAACGACAGAATTGGGGCAAACTTCCCACACAGAACCCCCATGACCAACAAAATACTTAAGGCCATCCAATCCAACTCCCTTCATCAGGGCAAGAAAATGTAATCAAAGTCCTTCTGACAAAGAGCCATCCAGCCAGAGATATAGATAGATAGATAGATAGATAGATAGATAGATAGATAGATAGATAGATAGATAGATAGATAGATATGATTCACACACAGAGAGATATAGTATCATAGATTAAAGAAAGACAATTATATGTTGCCTGTTCCAGAACAGGCAAGCCAAACACTCTCCACATCAACACTGGCAAAGAAACAGCAAGAAACACTGTTTACCCACAAGCATAAAGAAATTACATATATTAGAAACCATCACTTTCTCATTACTTTATTTTCCAGATCACCAGACTGGGCCACAGCAACGCGTGGCAGGGGACATCTATTTATTTATTTAATGCACTTATTAACCGCCATTCTCAGCCCTTACGGGCGACTCATGGCGGTGTACAGTACACATAAAAGACAAATTACAAAGCCAGTATCAAAACATATAACAATACAACACTACAAACTACACAAAAATCCGCTTCGTCTCTTAGTGGAATCATAGCCAATCTCATCATCCTTGTACCGTTCCAGTTCTCATTACCGTCCTATTTGCTGCTTAGCACTTAATTAAATGCCCTTTCAAACAGCCATGTCTTAAGGCTCTTCCGAAAGGACATGAGGGAGGGCGCCTGTCTGATGTGTGCAGGGAGAGTGTTCCACAGCCGGGGGGCCACCACCGAGAAGGCCCTTTCCCTCGTCCCCGCCAAACGTGCCTGTGAGGCAGGCGGGATCGAGAGAAGGGCCTCCCCAGACGATCTCAAGGTCCTCGTGGGCTCGTAGGCCAAGATGCGGTCAGAAAGGTATTTTGGGCCGGAACCGTTTAGGGCTTTGTAGGCCAAAACCAGCACCTTAAATTGGGTCCGGTAGCAAATCGGCAGCCAGTGGAGCTGGGACAGCAAGGGCGTTGTGTGCTCCCTGCCCCCCGCACCAGTTAGTAACATGGCTGCCGCGCGCTGAACCAGCTGAAGCTTCCGGGCCGTTTTCAAGGGCAGCCCCACGTAGAGAGCGTTGCAGTAGTCCAAGCGGGATGTGTTACTTACATCTAGTTACTTACATTTACATTACTTACTACGGGATCTAGTTACTTACATTTACATGATATTTTTGTTGCTAATATTTTGTTGGTAATATTTGAACTTTGAAAACTGGCATGAATTTAGAGTTCATTGCCCTTAGATTTAGCTTGCTACCCAGATTATAGATTATTTCAACAAGTTTTTTAGAAGTGCACACAGTCCCCGAGTTACAAGCAACCGACTTGCATATGACTCATAGCTAAGAACAGGGGTGAGATAATGGGAAGTGAGAGGAAATCTACCCCTTGGAAGGGAAATTTGCGATGTAATGTAAAATAAACCACATGTAGTTCACGTTGGATCAGCCCACACACTGTCTTGCCATGCAGATGAAAAGTAAAGAACAAGTAGTTTACTCTTCTTAGTTCAGAACAACATATGTACTACATGATCAGTTGCATCAATTCACTAAATGTACTTTCCTGAGAGATTTAAAATGGTCCTTTATGTGTCCATATGAGAGCCCTTCTTCTCAGCAGCCAAGAAGCAAATCAGTCTGTCTCTTTCTTCTTCACTCTTCTTCTCTCTGCACTTGCATAGCTTGAGCCTTAACAAAATGCAACAGTATCCAAAAGTCCCAGGGTCAGCCATCACCCCAGGTATTGCCCATCCAGTCAGCTTCATGCATCTTCTTTTGCAGTTGACACACACACACACACTCACTGATTGCTTGCATGTTCCAACAAAATTCACTCCTGGAAGAGTTATCATGGGGAGAAGGGGTTTCCACTGAAGTCGTATCACCAATCCTTGTTTCCACAGCAACCCAATTATTTCAAAATTCAATTGTCACAGGGACAGAAAGTGAGGGAAATATTCTGAACAGGGGCACAGACAGCAAAAAAAGAATTACAGGGGTGTTAATCCTTCCTTGTTCTACCCAGAATTAAAACAGTGTGTTCGCTTAGCTGCAGGCTCTGTCAAGGTGAGGTGTTAACACCCAATTACTCATCTGGGACCTAAGGAATTCTTGAAAGGGATGTGGAAACACTTAGACACTGGTTTGCAACAACTGGACACACATTCCCTTGAAAAACAGAAACTAAAATTATCAAAGGTCTGGAGACCATGAATCCTTATGAGGAGTGTCTTAAAGAGCGGGGCATGTTTAGCCTGCAAAAGAGAAGGTTGAGAGGAGACATGATCGCTATGTATAAATATGTGAAAGGGTGTCATAAGGAAGAGGGAGCAGGCTTGTTTTCTGCTGCACTGGAAACTATGGCTCAGAGCAGTGGGTTCAAATAACAGGAAAAATTCCATTTGGACATTAGGAAGAACTTCCTGATCATTAGAGCTGTTCAGCAGTGGAACTCTGGCTTGGAGTGTGGTGCAAACTCCTTCTTTTGGAGGTTTATAAACAGGTTGGATGGTTATCTGTTGGGGGTGCTTTGATGGTGCTTTTCCTGCATGGCAGGGGTTGAACTAGATGGCCCATGTGGTCTCTTCCAGTTCTATTTTTCGACGTATTAAGCACATAGATTTTTTTTTTCAGAGGCCCACAGGTTGGTGTTTAGATTCTTAGCTGTGTGAGCACCTAAACTTCAGCGCTGCAAAATGAATTGGAAACTGTTATCTGTTTTTTAAAAAGGGGGTTTACAATGCAACATGAAAATATGGGTGTCCTGCAATTGTTATTATTAAAATTGTAGGTTATGCAATTAATCTACTGCACTTCAACTGAATTGCAGTGATTTAACTTCTGTTTCAGAGAGCTATTGGCATAGCTATTTGCTGTAATGGCTAGAGGATTCTGGGAACTGTCATTCAAAAAGGCCATACTGTATATACTTGAGTATAAACCTAGTTTTTCAGCCCCTTTTTTAGGCTGAAAAAGCTCCCCTCGGCTTATACTTGAGTCAAGGTTATTTATTATTTTCCTCTGGTATCAGTATTATTTTTATTTCATGTATTATTTTACTCTATTATTACATTTACAGTATGTTACCCTATTATTATTATTATTTTACACTATTTATGATTATTATTACATTTATTATTTTACTTTATTAGTATTGCATTTATTATTTTACTTTATTATTATTATTACGTTTATTATTTTACTCTCTTTATTATTGTTGGAAGGATACGTAAGAATATTTACATTGAAGAAGGTTAGAATAATGATTTAATCAGAGTTGTGCAGTCTTATCTCAAATTACAGTTTTATGTAAATATTCAAAAACATTTTACCTCCTGATGCCTCAATTAATGTAATTTTATTGGTATCTATTTTTATTTTGAAATTTACCAGTAGTGGCTGCATTTCCCATCCTCAGCTTATACTTGAGTCAATATGTGTTCCCAGTTTTTTGTCGTAAAATTAGGTGCCTCGCCTTATAGTCGGGTCGGCTTATACTTGAGTATATACGGTAGTTGTAACCCCAAGCTCTGGTTCCATTTTCCTTTTAGTACATATGTCTTCTTTCTGTTTTGTAAACACAGTCGTTTTGTCTTTCAGTTTGCCGTTTTCTACAAAGGTGACGAATGCCTCGGCAGTGGAAAGATTGTGAGATTAGGCCCATCAGTGTTTACTTTGCAGCAAGGCAAAAATAGAGTAAGGACGGCGGGAAATGTCCCCACCAATGAGGTCAATGTGGAGCCGGCCACATGACGGCTTGCTTTTTTAACCAAGCAAAGACTTTGTAAGTTGAAAGAGTTCGAATTAAAAAAAAGTTCAAATACTCATACAGATTCATGGATGAACTTGCGGACATACTGTTCTAAATAACTTTCCTGGGTAAATTAAGGGCATTTAAAAATAAATGAAATATTTTTGATGTGTTGTTGAAGGCTTTCATGGCTGGAATCACTGGGTTGCTGAGTTTTTCGGGCTGTATGTCCATGTTCCAGTAACATTCTCCTCTGACGTTTCACATGCATCTGTGGCTCACATCTTCAGAGGTTCTGTTGGCAGTGAAGCAAGTGGAGTGTATACATCTGTGTGGAATGTCCAGGGTGGGAGAAAGAACCCTTGTCTATTTAACGCTAATGTGAATGTTGCAATTAGCAAGCTTGATTAGCATTGAGTAGCCACTGAATATTTTTCGTATGATCATTGACTTATATTGATAAGGAAGGTTAAAAAAGCCCCTTCCTTCTTTGAGAATGCAATGATTGGAGTTGAGAACCTTTTTTTTTAAAAAAAAAAACAGGACTACAAGATACATACCTTAGTTAAAACAAGTGTCTGATGAAGAGACTGCTTTTTACAAACTCCTACCCAGTTTCCCCTTTGGATCCTCATGTTCTGTCTAGCTGGGTATTTCTTTAGCAGCACTGACATAGAGAAGATGGGGAAGGAAGCTGGGAAACACAGGCTTTTTGGTGTCAAGCTGCAGCAGCACGTCCGTAGAAAATAGTGCCATAAGCTAAAGCTGCACTGGGAAGAATCAGTCTCTAGTAGTCAAACCCATTTTAGCTGTTGACAACAGGCAAGGTCAACAGCAGCTGCCTGCAGCATTCCCTTTTACAGAGCAAAACAGGGAGAGAATAGGACAGTTTCAAGCCTACCTCACCAGCTACCTTACAGTACTGTAAAAATCTAGAAATCTATAAATGCATTGCCAAAATGGAAATAATAAGAATCATGTTAGTGAAAGAAAGGGGAAAAAATAATAATGGTTATCTTTGGAAGAAGCTTTCAAGCAAACAAAGGAGAGAGGGAATTATATACACAGTAAATGTTACTTTCTGGGTGACTTCACAATGTTTTTGTTTACATAGACAATTCTTAGACAGTTTTTCATTTTGTGGTTAGTTTTGATGAAAAGGCTACCTAGTGTGTTAATGCTGCCAACTTCCTTTTCAAAGATGCGACACGATCCTTTTGTGTGCTGATCCAGACTAAAAGGGCTGTATGTTTGAATTCTAACACAAATTGAATTGTGTGGAAGATGAGACTGTTCGAATAAAGCTTTTGTCTGCCACTCTGCATTTAACAACCACAATTTTATTTATTTATTTATTTGCAGTATTTTATTGTGCGCTTCCCACCTCGAAAGGGACTCAGAGCGGTGTTAGAGTTCATTTCTGAAGTAACAAATAGTAAGTGATGTAAGTGATGCCAGGATCAATGCAGCAGGGAATGAGCCAAACCATCTGGCCAATATTGGGTGGTTACAGCCAGGGCAGGACAGCTGCAAGGAGAATAAAGGAACCAAAGTACAACAGCTTCGTGTGGGTTGTTGGAGGTGGGTTGTTGGAGGTGGTTGCTGGATTGTTGGAGAGGTGTGTTTGGAGGAGTTACACAAGGCTTGTGTCTCAAAGAGAACATTTGGACTCTGTATATATATGTGTGTGTGTTCTTTTATATAAACTCTGCAAAAGACAAATGACTGAGTTTGTTTCATAGTCAAAGGCAAAAGGCTTCCACGTTTGTGAGTGTCTGCATTCATTTTCATCATGACAGGCAGATCAGAGAACACATACACGGCAAACATTCAATGCCATTATACATCAACAAAACAGACAACTATACATAGATAGAGGTGTGTGTATATATATATATATAGGCTTTCCCATCTTCGGCATGTTGGAGGCTTGTGCTCGGTTCTGGCCACAAGAGGGTGCTGTTGCTCCATCTTCCCTGCCGAAGAGCTTTGTTCGTAAACTTCCTTATTGATCGAATTGCCAGCATTTTTCTGGCATTTCCTTATGGGTGCTTTAAATAACTCCTCACTTTAAAGTGGTACCTATTTATCTTATTCATATTGCTTTTTAACTGCTAGGTAGGCAGAAGCTGGGCTAAAGATCAGGAGCTCACCCTGACCTGAGTTGTGAACTGCCAACCTTTTGATTTGCAAGATTTACTTGAAGCTGGTGGTTAACCAGCTGTGCTAAAGCCCGGCCCAACATAATGACTGTTTTGTAAGAGTGACATAAATTGTGTTCATTACCTGCAATGAAATTTTAGTGGAAAGTGAGTAAAATCTATTTATTTTTATCTAGGGTATATATACCTTTCCCTTCAGCCAAAACAAATATCCCAGAGGCAGTTATAAACTATTAATAGTACAGTTCCCAGTCATCAGGCTTACAATCAAAGTAAAATACAAGTAATAGAGATTGGCAGTGGAAGATGGGGATGAAGTTCAACAAATACTGTCTCTTTTTTTCTTCTTCCAAGCCACAGCACTGGAAATTGGATGGCGGGAGGACTTTTCTTCACTTGTGTGGAAAGGAAGTGGGGAGGAACAGAAGAAATCTCATAGTATTTCTTCGTCTGATTTATTTTAGCATTGGCTTTCACATGTTACTTCCTTGTACATCCTTAAAGACTTAGAAATTTGTTATGGCATGGAATTAATGTTTCTATCCTTAAGCTGCTGTAAGATTAACTGCTGCCCTTAAACTCATAACATACAGGTTTATATAGAAACATCTCTTCAGTCTTTTTCAAAAGTTTGAACTCTTAACCATATTAATCTTTCCCCACAACCTACATATTTCTTCCTGACTTGAAAATAGTGCCTGCATGGGGGATAATGAATTTCTTATTCAGGTTCATAATTTTATGTGACTTCTAAAATAAATTATATTTAAGTTAAGATACTAATGTTGTCATGAACCAAAGTACGTGTTTACTTCATATTGGAAGAGCTTGCTCTGACTTGAAGCTCCAAGTCAGAGCAACCACACCTCTTCTCATGATGCCATGGATCTAGGGTATATATACCTTTCCCTTCAGCCAAAACAAATATCCCAGAGGCAGTTATAAACTATTAATAGTACAGCTCCCAATCAAAATAAAATACAAGTAATATTTGAAGCATTTTGATATGTGTTGACAACAATAAACAAATCACTTACAAAGTAGATATAGAGAGGGTTTTTACTACCACTTTAGGTATACACCTTAGAGCAGTTTATAGTTGGAGCACTGTAGGTCTTACTGGGGCTTATACAACAGCATCTGAATCAATATACCTTATCCAGTTTCTCGATGTATGTGTACTTACAGTTTATGCCCATGTTTGAAGAGAAGAGGTGTGGTTGCTCTGACTTGGAGCTTCAAGTCAGAGCAAGCTCTTCCAATATGAAGACCACCTGAGATTAATTATATTAGTGAATTTCTAGGTAAATAAGGTGGAGCTGTGGCTGGACTGCTGACCTGAAGGTTGGGTTGCTGACCTGAAGCTTGCCGGTTCGAATCCACAAGACAGGGTGAGCTACCATCTGTCAGCTTTATTTATTATTTTAAATTATTTATTTATTTATTTAAAAGTTTTATATACCGACCTTCTCACCTCTCTTGAGGGACTCAGACCAGTTTCCAACCGTAAAATACATACAATCAGTAAACATCATACTTCATATTGCAATAAAACATTAAAAACATTAAAACAGCAAAACAGCAATTACATTCAATAAATACAATGGTCAGTCGTCCCACTAAATTTGATGTTCATCATCCTCCATCCAACCTCCGGGTGTTGGCTCACTCATCGAATGCCTGTCTCCATAGCCAGTACAGCCATTACAATATTTATATACCGCCTTTCTCACCTCTGGGGGACTCAAAGCGGTTTACACATAAATAATGGCAAAATTCAATGCCTTACATTGGGCACCGATACGATGCCAATACAAACAATTACAATAGTAAAACCACAATTAAACATAAATCATAATTAAAACAATACATCAACAAGCATTAAAACAAGCATTAAAACAATAAAACAATTTTGTTTAGCATGCAGGGACATGAGAGAAGCCTCCCAGCAGGATGGCGGATGGGACAGCTGTGCCTACAGTAGGACAAATTGCAGTTTTATTTATTTTTAGCAAGTTGACAGCATAGACCTTATCTGGCTATGCAAATGTTAGCATAAGGTTTACTGGGCCGGGGGGCACTGGTGTGTTTTTATTGTACAAGTTTAGAGCCACTCAGTTTTGGATTGTAATTACACTGAGTAACATGATTTTTGTTCCTGGGTTATAAATGTCATTTCCGAATTGGTTTTATCATAAAATATGGGAAACGTTTATTACACTACAAAAACATTTTTGCGGGACATCCTGCAGCACATTTTGCTATAGCTTTTCAATAAAAATTTCATTGAGTCTCAACCAATTCAACATAGGTTGCGGCAGCCACAAAAAGGAAGTTTTGGGAGTAGAATTACTACTTTCTAATTAAGTGCCATACAATTAAACAGGAAATAACATTTTCAAACCAGGAACAGATTTTTTAAAATGTTGCGTAATTGTCTTTGACACCAGGGAAAAGTCCATTAAAGATTATGTAGATCTAATCTCAGCACAACTGTGAGCAAATCCTCTGAAAATTTTGCATAGCTAGTACTATTGCCCACTCAAAATATGTAAAATTGATAACAGGACCTCTAAAGCTATGTTGGAAAAAGTGTGGAGAAATAAGAGATTGGAGCTGCACTTTCAAACCAGGAACAGAGAATGTTTCAAATTTTGTTACTTAGTATCATAATAAATTGTGGCGAGTTCTTGGTGGTATGGGCATACCAAGCCACCTTGTCTCTCTCCTGAGGAATCTGTATAAGGACCAAGTAGCAACAGTAAGAACTGACCATGGAACAACAGACTGGTTCAAGATTGGGAAAGGCGTACGGCAGGGTTGTATACTCTCACCCAACCTATTCAACTTGTATGCAGAACACATCATGCGACGTGCGGGGCTTGACAAATGCAAGGATGGGGTAAAAATTGCCAGAAGAAAGATGAACAACCTTAGATATGCAGATGACACCACTTTGATGGCTAAAAGCGAGGATGAGCTGAGGAGCCTTCTAATCAAGGTGAAAGAAAAAAGTGCAAAAGCTGGGTTGCAGCTAAACATTAAAAAAAAACCCCAAGATTATGGTAACAAGAATGATCGACAACTGGGAAATAGAGGGGGGAAATGTGGAGGCCGTGACAGACTTTGTATTTCTAGGTGCAAAGATTACTGCAGACGCAGACTGCAGCCAGGAAATCAGGAGACGTTTACTTCTTGGGAGGAGAGCAATGACCAATCTCGATAAAATAGTGAAGAGTAGAGACATCACACTGGCAACGAAGATCTGTATAGTTAAAGCAGTGGTATTCCCATAGTCACCTATGGATGTGAGAGCTGGACCTTAGGGAAGGCTGAGTGAAAGAAGATAGATGCTTTTGAACTGTGGTGTTGGAGGAAAGTTCTGAGAGTGCCTTGGACCACGAGAAGATCCAACCAGTCCATACTTCAGGAAATAAAGCCCAACTGCTCACTGGAGAGAAGGATATTAGAGGCAAAAATGAAGTACTTTGGCCACATCATGAGGAGACAGGAAATCTTAGAGAAGACAATTATGCTGGGGAAAGTGGAAGGAAAAAGGAAGAGGGGCCAACCAAGGGCAAGATGGATGGATGGCATCCTTGAAGTGACTGGCTTGACTCTGAAGGAGCTGGGGAGGTGACAGCTGACAGGGAGCTCTGGCGTGGACTGGTCCATGAGAGTCGGAAACGATTGAATGAATGAACAACAAAATCTCCCAGAGTTTTAAAATGTTAATCTTTGAACTGGCCCTTCCTATTGTGTTCATTTT